CATGCATCAAGAGCAAGTCACCAGGGTTATCCTGCTCGCCGGACCCGCTGCCACTGCGGTTTTAGAAGTCCTCGTGCAGCCTAACTTTCTTCCAAACGCAGGCCATCTACAATCAGGCCTCTCCTTCAAAACCACAGCCTCTCCAGGGCAGTCCTCCTCACACAGTACTGGGGATCGAACTCACAACTGCCTGCTTGCAAGGCAGGCACTTATGCCTATGCCTATGCCTATGCCGCTGAGCTAAATCCCCAGCCCCCACTCCCCTGCCTTTTAAAGTCCTCTTCTGCTACTTCTGCAGATCTCCTCTCACCCCGTGCTCTCCCGACCCGAAGGAGTGAACTCTGAGGCTGAGCCTCCTGGGCTGTCACCCTGGACACGGAGAAGCCCGGCTCAAGGCTAATGGCAGTCACGTCCCTCAGCAGGGGACACACACAGACCACCACCAACGAGAACCAGGGACCGCCTGGCAGCGGCAGCGACAGCCACACCCTCCAGGGCTGCATGCCTGCTTTCTCTTCTGTAATTTTTATTTGGGTTCATGAGCTCTTTCAAGAGAAAATAAGTGCACAGGAATATTTATGCATGGCACGGGAGGATGAGGTTTCGAACCATCCAGTGCCGGGGAGGAGGAGGACTAGCAGAGGGCAGGAGGGGAAGCTGGCCAGCAGCTGAAAACGCTGGTGTGACATACAGATTCACTGTCATTCTGGCCACCTCGGTGGGTGTTTGAAAATTCGTACCTTCTGCTAACCCGCATGTGACCCGACCTCACTCTGGGGCCATTTCCGCCGTCTGACTACTGCCCTTAAAAAGAGTACCCGGGAGCTCGCCTGGATGTCTCCTGCACCCCAGCCCTGCTTCCTCCCCCACCTCTGCAGGGCCCCGGGGAACATTCTCAGCCTCACCCCTGCCTACTCCACGCTCCCAATGCTTCTCCCAGCCGAGGCCTCCACCCCCTGACCGCTTCTCTTTGCTCATCCCAGCCTGGTGTAGCAGAATTTCCTTGTATGTCCTTTGATGCAGCCTCTACAAGAACCATGCTGCCTCCTGGGGAGGGGCCCTCACCCCGTCCGCACTGTGGGCACAGAAACATGCCCATGATGGGCACCCCGAGCGTGACCCACTGGCACCCGAGACCCACCCGCCCTAGTGCCCACTGGATTGGTGGCCCTAGCACCTCCACAGCCCCTGCTCCCAGCCCCAGCACCCCATCACCCATTTCCTGATTGCAAATGCTTTTCTTGTTAGCATGTCAGCAAATGATGCTATTTCTGATATTCCAGAATAACTGTAGATTGCAGGACAGTTAGGAAGGTAGTTCTCAAGTCTCTGGCTACCACTCCCTGGGATTCCTTCATTGCAAATTAACATCCTACGCTGCTGTTGTGCCTACTAACACTAAGACACCATCATGGTTGCTGATGTCTTTTCAACTGACTCTACAGTAGGATGTCTAAAATTTTTCCTCTCACCCTGCTGCAAAGAGGAAGGAAACCCCGGCCTGAGTATGCACCCTGGGTCCCTCCTGGCAAAGGGTACAAGAGCAAACGTCTTCTAGAATGCCCTAAATTGGCTTTTGGTGACCTCAAAGGAGCTCAGGCCCCAGCCTCTGTTCAGAAGGCCGATGGCCATGGACTGCACCATGCTAGAGACATCGAGCTCGTGGCTTGGTCCCAGAGGGAACCTGTGAGTTGCCCAAGGAGCAAGGAAATCTGCCAGAGGAAACAGCCTCCAAGTGGAGCTCACCAGCCAGGAAGAAAACGTTCTCCCGTGGAAAGGAAGGCGGGAAGCGGGATGAGGGGCCCACCATCATCTGCCTCGCTTCCAGGAACAATTTATCAGGGCGGCGGAGCTGTCAGGGCTGACACGATCAGGAATAACACCACATGAATAATGCTTCTGCCAACACCAACTCCTTTAATTACAAGCCTCTTCTTTCCAGAAGAGAGACAGAAGATGCAAAAACCCCAATTTCATGCACTTGTGCCTGAGTAATGTCTCCGCGCTGTTTTTTCCAGATGGCGACCTCCTCACTGGAGGGCTAATGATGTGGGCATATTTAGGGAAAAACCAATAACGGAGTCTTTAACCTTCAACAACAAAAAGCATGTTGTACAAAATGTTCCTGGGGATGCATTAGAAAATATCAATTACACTGCTCACTGAGGTGTAATCAGCTGTAATAATCAAAATTAATTTTTAAAAATAATTAAACAGACCCCAGGGCAAATAGTCGACGCGCTCTTTCTATGACATCACAGCGCGCACACGGGCTTGAGGAGGCGCGCCTGCTGGCAGCGGCTCGCAGAGGCGAGCAAGTCTGCAGCTGCAAAGCTGGGCTCAGCGAGAGAAGGGGCGCCTGCCTGCCCTGCTGGGACCTGTCCAGCTCTGGTCCCTAGCAGCCTGCTCTGCAGCAGAGGTGTCCACCCGGACCGAGCTGCCGGGCAAGGATGCCATGAAGTCCAAGGGCAGCGTTTCCCTGCTAGAATGTCTTCATACTGCATCACGCTGGGCTTGGTTTGCTTGTTTGGTGCTGGATATTGAACCCAGGGCTTCATGTTGAGCAGTATCCCCAGCCCTTTTTAAAAAAAAAACTTTTCAGCTGAGGCACAGTCTTGCTAAGTCGCTATATTGCCCGAGTTGGGCTGGATCTTATGATCCTCCTGCCTCAGCCTCCCAGTATGCTAGGATGACAGACAGGTGCTACTGTGCCCAGCATGCATAAGGTATTTAAAGCTGTGGGAAAGATAAAAAAAATCAGGTTGAAGGGCAAGTGAGAGTCAAGGTGAGAAAGAGGCCAGGAGAGGGTTGTGTATGTGTACATACGAGCACACGCATGTGTTCACAGACACATCTCTGGGGCGCGTGCAGTAATAAAGTCTGATCATGCTAAGCTTTCTGAGACTCTCAGGGTTCAGATCAAAGAAAAACAATCAGAGCCAGCTGCACAGCGCCTGCCAGGGAGGCGCTGAGAGAAGAGCAGTCTCAGTGCTAAAAGCAGGGAGAGGGAGGTCCCCACCCAGCTGTCAGGAAGTGGAGGAGGCGCTGTCACCTGTGACCCAGAGGTGCCTCGGTGCCGCTGTGCGGGGTTCGCTCTGCCTGGCCTGTCCCTCCCCGAGCACCGCAGGTGCCTGTCAGCCCTCAAGTCTGTCCTTATCAGCCGTGGCAGCCTTGCCAACCCCCCATCTCTGCACCCAGCTCCCCAGCCTGCCCCTTTAGCGCCCTCATTGCAAGCAGCATCCTGATGCGAATTTAATGACCTCCTGGCTCCCCAGAGATCAGCTCTAGACAAGCAGGGTTGGAGCCACCAAGCCTGGGCAGCTCTGTGAGGTCTGTCTCAAAATCAGCCATTAAAAGGGGAGGGGGCTGGAGGCACAGCACAGGGCAAAGGCCCTGGCTGTAGACTATGAATAAATAAATTAAAGTTTTGTTCTTGACCATCACCTTGGTGCTTAGACCAGGACATGGGTGTCTATTGGGTGAAATGAATGGAGACAGTGTCTTCAAGCAGCCACCAGCAGAGGGGGTCCCCCTGCCCCAGCCCCAGTGGCCTCATCAGAATGCCAGACTTAGTCAGGCAGAGTAGCTGTGGACGCCCGAGGCCACAGTGGACAGAGATTCGGAGCAGGGGCAGCTTGGGGCCCTCCTATCTGCCAGTACTATCAGACAATCTGCAAGCCCAGCTGGTTGCCAGCCCCACCTTCCCGTTCCCAGGGCTGTGTGTCCCATCATGGAGATGACACCAAGACTCAGGAGAGCAAAGGAATCTGCCCAAGGTTTCCTGACTCTAAGGGCCCATCTGGAACCAATCACAGTTTGCCCTGAAATAACTCTCTGACCCAGCGTTAGGATAGGGACTGGCTGCTTTCCAAACACCACCACCGGGCAGCACCTCCTGCCAGAGTTCTCACGAAGCCCGCCCCTCCCCACCAGGAGGTGGCGCAGTTGTCACCGGTGCCAGGCTGAAGCACTGACAGGAAGCCAGGTCCTCCAAGACCTGCCTGGCAGGAGCTCTCTCTGTCTCTCTCTGTCTCTCTCTCTCTCTCTCTGTCTCTCTCTCTGTCTCTCTCTCTCTCTCTCTCTCTGTCTCTCTCTCTCTCTCTCTATCTCTCTCTCTCTCTCTCTCTCTCTCTCTCTCTCTCTCTCTCTGTCCCCCTCTTTCCTGCCTGGCCCCGGAGCACCGGGTTGGAAGGAAGCCTCATTCACAGCAAGAGGCTGTGTAGATAATACCACCACCAACACCACAGTGCTCTCACTGTGCTCCAAATTGTTCTGATGGCGTTCACGGTCACAAAATGCCATTGCTGTTGCCACCAAGTTTAAAGATGGTTTCCCACAGAGCTTTGGAACACCCCGACTGTGCCTGGGGCTGTCCCAAGGACCCTCGGTGGTGTCTGCAAGGAGATCCCTGCGCACTGTCAGGGTTAATACCCTTTGCCTGGGTCGTGTGCCCGGGGTCACCTGAGGGCACAGAACTCGGCACAGAACTTGGGAGGACTGGCTCCTTCTAGCTTATTTGCATTTTAGGTTTGTTGGAAGGAGACAGAAAGACAGACTTTCTTGAGATGGGCTTGGGGTCAGGGACGGCACAATGATCAAGGTATGATACCTGCATGTACAAGCTCCCCCAGGAGAATGGACTGTTATGCGTCCCAAATATACACAAGTAGAATCTCCTTTATGTATAAAATGAAATTATGTTATAAAATGAGCTATTTACACACAAATCATAGTCTACCTAATTACTCCCCTAACTTCAAAGGATTTTTTTCTTCCCCAATGTTTTCACCATTAGAAAAAGCACTGACACAAAAACACCTTTGTAAGTTAAATAAAAGCAAACACACAGACAACGTGTTACCTCTATACCACTCCAAGTCACCCTCGTTCAGCTCCCAGGCTGATGCCTAGTGACCCAGGCACGGGACTCCAGAGGCACCAGACAGCAGAGAGGAGCTGTGACTCGGGGCCCACCCTGGGGACGTGTGGTCTGGGCTCACCTCAGCCCTGCACGCAGGGTCCTTGGCCTGGCGCCCGGGCATCAGTCGCATGGCTGAGGACAGGCTCCCGCTCCACGATGAGACTTTGCTCTGGGGCGCGACGTTCGAGCGGCCGGCCAGCGCCTTCTTCTCGGATGCTGGGGGTGGGGGAGCCAAGAATGACGGACTGGAAGTTGGGAGAAGGACACAGACAGCTGCCCGGCTTCCCAACAGCCAGCCAGTGGCTCTGCTCCTGCTGCCCACTTCCTCTTCTGAGCTCACCTAGTTAACATATCATGTGGGCTCAGGGTGCTGGGTGGTGGGGAGCCCAGACCGGGCCTGAGCACCAAGCGCCAAGGCTGGTGGATGCACAGGGAAATGTGGACAACTTAGCAAAGTGGCCGGGCCACAATTTGTCACTCAGTAAAGTGAGGACCATGGTCTCTGGACTCACTGAGCTGTCATAAAGTTTCTAGGAGATTCTATTCTCGAAGGACCTAGGATCAGGGCATGGTACTCACTCCCAGAATCCCAGCACTCAAGAGGACCACAAGCTCCAGCCCAGCCTGGGCAACTTAGCAATTTAGTGAGGGCACATCTCAAAATACAAAGGGCTGAGGATGTAGCTCGGTGCAAAGGCCCTGGTTCAGTCCCCAGAATTGTCAGGAAGAAATAAATAGGTGACACCTAGGTAATGCTGCCAGGCCTTCAGCATGGTCTCCTCCCAGAGCGGGGTGACCTCTTCGATCCTGACGTCACTCTCCCCGGGTTTCACGGAGAGGTCAATCTTGAAGGTGTCCTCCAGCGCCTGCCTCCTCTGCGCCACGAGCTGCTGCCACAGCACCTGCACGGTCTTCTTGATGTTGTGCTGGGCTGGCGAGAGAGCGCAGGACACAGTCAGAAGGACCTCAGCCCCCCACCCAGAGAGCCGGGAGCAGCAAACCTAGCCGCTTTTACCCAGTGCTTCTCCCGTAAGCCTTGAGCCGCAGCAGCCAATACATAGCGTGGCAGCTCTGATCCGCTACTTCCAATGTGCCAGCAAGCTGGCCTGTCCTTCTGCCAAGTCCCGCCTGCCTCGTGTCTAGGTCAGCAAAACGGGACTGAGGGTATGAGGGATGCTTTCCAACCTCCCGATCTGTGGGACTCCAGCCTCTACACAGCTCTGTCTGGCCTCCTCTTAATCCACGGCTTACTTGGACAAAGATGCCAAGCCCAAGATTGCTCTGTCCTACCACCAGAGCCCACCCTGCTCCATGGCCTGGATTTCCTCAGACCTGGAATGAACCCCCAAGCAGCTCCAAACCACCTGCTCAGCCCACACCCGTAGCCCCTGCAGTGTGCCCCAACTTCCTCTGACCTTCCTCTGGCCACCAGGTCCCTGTCTGGGCCTAGGCTTCGAGGCTGTTCTTAGCCTAGAGAGCCAGATACTGCTTGGTCCAGTACTCCAGCCACAAGCTCTCCTGAACACTGTGTCACAAGGGTTTGAAGTCACAAGGTTGTAGGGCACAGGTTTTGGGCACCCGACTTATCTAACCAGAACACAGAGATCTGCAATCTTATATCATGAGATGTATATCACCAGGTCAGTGGCAGAACCTCCAAACCAAAGTGGGAGAGGTGATTGCAGGCCCCACTTCCTGCAAAGAGAGAGGGAGGGTGACCGAGAGAGATAGAGATAGAGATAGAGATAGAGATAGAGATAGAGATAGAGATAGAGATAGAGACAGAGATAGAGTCAGAGACAGAGACAGAGACAGAGATAGAGACAGAGATAGAGATGCAAAGAGACAGAGACCCGGGACACATTCAACTGGCTGCTATATATCTTCTAATCCCTTTAAATTAATTTGAGATTACCAAATCCAACAATAAGCTCCATCAAACTCGAAGTTTTATAGGAAATAATGAGTCTATTTTCTCCTTTCCCATTGTCTAGGGGAGAAGCTGAGCAGCAAATGTGTGACAGCTTGAACCAGGTGAGGGGCATGCCAGTTTCATCTCACAGCAAGGTACCCAGGCTTCAGTGAGCAGGCGATGCTTCTAGACCAGTAAATCTTTGACACAAGGGCCACAGTGGGTTGTTTGTATTGTTGAAACCTCTAAAAGACTCACCATCACTGTTCTAGACTAACCAAGTCCCATAGTGTTTGCCTTCATCCATCTGCCCATCCTTCCATTCATTTATCCATCCATCCATCCACTAGTTTACCCACCCATCCATCCCTCCATCCATTCATCCATCTATGCATCCACCTACTTGTTTATCCATCCATCCACTTGTTTATCCATCCATCCATCCCTCCATCCGTCCATCCATCCATCCATCCCTCCATCCGTCCATCCATCCATCCATCCACTTGTTTATCCATCCATCCCTCCATCCATTCATCCATCCACTTGCTTATCCATCCATCCCTCCATCCATTCATCCATCCACTTGTTTATCCATCCATCAGTCTATCCATCCATCCATCCACTTGTTTACCCATCCATCCATCCCTCCATCCATTCATCCATCCATCCATCCACTTGTTTACCCATCCATCCCTCCATCCATTCATCCATCCACTTGTTTATCCATCCATCCCTCCATCCATCCTTCCATCTATCCATCCACTTGTTTATCTATCTATTCCTCCATCCATCCTTCCATCTATCCATCCACTTGTTCATCCATCCATTCATCGACTTGTTTATCCATCCATCCCTCCCTCCATCCATCCATCCATCCACTTGTTTATCCCTCCATCAGTCCATCCATCCATCCACTTGTTTATCCATCCATCCATCCATCCTTCCATCTATCCATCCACTTGTTTATCCATCCATCCCTCCATCAGTCAATCCATCCGTCCATCCATCCATCCACTTGTTTACCCATCCATCCATCCCTCCATCCATTCATCCATCTATGCATCCACCCACTTGTTTATCCATCCATCCATCCATCCATCCTTCCATCTATCCATCCACTTGTTTATCCATCCATCCCTCCATCAGTCCATCCATCCATCCACTTGTTTATCCATCCATCCCTCCATCCACTTGCTTATCCATCCATCCCTCCATCAGTCCATCCATCCATCCATCCATCCACTAGTTTACCCATCCACCCATCCCTCCATCCGTTCATCCATCCACTTGCTTATCCATCCATCCCTCCATCCACTCATCCATCCATCCACTTATCTCTTCCTACTCCATCTCTAATACACTAAGATTATTCTAGTTATCTTCTACCACAAGTCTTGCTGCATCACCCTGGGCCATCCTAGCTCCTCTGGCCTTTGAGAATTTCCTGAACAGTTTTCTTTCTTACCTCGGGAGAGATGACCAGGAGGCTGCAGCTTGGGGGTGCCACGACCCACCCACTCCCCCACACAAGGAAACAAACGGCAGTACAGTGTACCATCGCTCAGGCTCGGGACGTCCTCTTCTCGTTTCTCCTTCCCTTCCTCACTCAGGGAGAGGAAGACTTGGTGGTAAGGGGTCACTCGAGGCTTGGGCTCCAATCCAAATCCCTCCGGGTAACTGGCAGACAAGAGGTTTTTCATCGTCAGCTCTAGTTTCTTTGGGATCATTCTATGGTTCCTTATTACAAGCATCTGCCCTTCAAACTCAGCTCACAGCGGTATGGAAAAATGGGTCAGATCTACAGTGTAAAGCAGACCGGTTATAGCAACTTCCATGCAAGTTATTGTACAGTGCTTTCCTGGATGGTATTTACACAAAGCCCTGCATGCAGAAATCCTGCCCGTGCTCCCAGAAGGCCCCCTGATCCCCCTCTTGGTTCCTTGGTCATTTCCTCTTGTGAACTCCCAAAGCACTGAACTCTCTTTTATTTGGAACTGATTTCATCCTTCCTTCCCCCGGCTGGCAAAACTGTAGTTTTGCCAGGGTCCCCCATGACGGAGCCAGCTCTGGGTGGAGACACAGTGGCTATGCACCAGCCTTTCCCATGTGCCCAGGATCTAGGGGCCACTTCAGCCTTCTGAGCAGAATAAACATTTGGCAAAGGCTTGTCGACTGAACCTACAATGGAAAATGCCAACATATGGGGACGCCAACCCTGAGATTTGTAGGCTGGGTCACCTTTCGAGGTTGGAGCCGTTTTGCTGCACAGAGGGGTTTGAGGGGCATTGGAAGAGCACAGTCCACCCGGCCTTCCACCCTTGTCACCCGTGCTTCCAATGTGAAATGCAAAAAGAAAAGAAAAATGCCCAAATGTGAACACACACGGCAAATCGGATCTTTTATTTCAGACCAATTAAAGGGCAAGCACCCCACCCCTGCGAGGAGGTCTCTCTGGACTGGGGTTTCCAGACAAGTCAGCTCTCGTGCCCTGCAATGCTCACTGGTCACAGCTGCCGCATTAAGGGGTTTTATTTTTTCACGGGCTATAATTCAGGATTTTTATTGGAATAAATGTGATCAAGAAAACACAAGAGCTACTCCAGAAGCTGAGGCAGGAAGACTGCAAAATCAGGCAGCCTGAAGAATTTAGGGAGACCCAAAAATTAAACAACAAAAGAAAAAAATTAAAAGGATCTTGGAATGTAGCTCGGTGTGATGGTCCTAGGTTCAATCTCTGGAACCAGAAGATAGAGGAGAAGGGAAAGGAGAGGAGGACAGGATAAGGGATAAGGGGGCAGAAAAGATGGTAGGAAGGAGGAAAGGAAGGGAAGAAGGAAGGGAAAAAAGTCCAGGAGTAAAGTGTAACCCCCAGCGCTCTCTCCTGCCTCCCTCAGCCTGGCTCTCCTAACAGGAGCTGATCTCTGCAAGCTTCTGAGCTGTGGTGTGACATCACAAGTGGGAAATTCCCCCAGGCTCTCTAAAATTCCTGTGAGCAGTCACTGCGGGCTGTGTGGGTTAGGTGCAGGGGAACACAGGCATTCTGCACTCAGCCCCGGTGCAGCCATGCTGCACCCCAAAGTGTAAAGGAAATCCAAACTCCAGAACACGCTGGTGGCACCATTCTGGGCAAGCTTACCCAGCACCTCAGAGCAGGGACAGAGGGAGCATTCGCTCAGAAGTCTGCCGTGCACACATGGTACTTCGGGGGTCGTTTAAATAGCTTTTGTTACTCTTTGTTAGGCAGCAAGCTTATGGATGCCGCTGTATGTCACCTATTTTGTGCATATTGTTTTCTGCAAAGAAAGTCACTCCTGCTGAGTCACAGGCCAGGCTTGGGGGGAAGGTAGCATGTCACCCACCACGGCACATGGCAGGGCTAGCCAGGTAACCGAGGACTTCCTAGCATTTGCATCAACCTAACAGAGCGTCCTCTGTACCCCTCCCTGTCTGCGCAGAGCCTGGCAGGCAGGAACCAAGAAGGCCCTTACCTTCTCGCATGGAGGAGCAGAAGACAGTGCATGAGACACAGGAGGAAGCTGACGTTGGAGTTGTAGGTGGCAAACACAATGTCCCAGTGCGCCTGCAGAAAGCCCAGGACGCCAAGCAGGCTCAGGCATTCGGACAGGGACTGCTGGGGCTTGGAGAGGCAGTAAAGGACGACCTTGTTCAGACTGCTGTACAAGCTGCTGACGACAGAGTCCCTCTGGGAAGAGGGATTCTCGATGACCTGCGTGGGAAAAACATGACACACACACACACACACACCAGTGAGCACTTGGCAACGTCTGATATGGACCCAGGTTACCACGGCACCATGCAATTCAGAAAGTGGCAGGATATGAAATTCAAGTAGCATTTGATTCCTCTGCCTATGAGGTGCTACCCAAGGGAGTGATCATTTAAGCAAATTCAGAATTTGGGTAAAAATTCTGTGTTAATAAATGTTAAAATTCACCGCGATCGTATTATACAAAATACGTCTGGCAACCAGAGATTTCCCAAGTTCTGGCCACGTGGCTGACATTCAGTGTGTGAGACTGAATGGGCACTAGCTGATTTCTTAAAATAGGTTCGTGTCGTTTTTCAGTAATTATTATCACTTACCCTATTCCTGGCATTATGGTAAGCATATGGTAAGCTGATACTGATTTGCATTCATTTAAATACACTGCCTTGTACAAATGTCACAGCACCATACGAAGTCACTGAGGTGACCCCACGTTAGCCATGAGTAGCTGAAGGTCAGAGGTCAAGGATCAGCAAGAATCAACCCCATTCCAGACACCGGGGCCACACTTGCCATCCCACGGCATCCGAGGGAGGCAGGGGCCACCCGGGCTTAGCCGACAGGAGATGCAGGAGGGAGGCAGGCGGCCTGGTTTGCACCTCCACCGGGATTGGTCTGTACAAGAGTGGGGTGCAGGGAAGGGGGTCCACGGAATACCACACGGCCAACGCAGAGCAGTGGACCGGAAGAGTGGCAGATGTTCTGTACTTGTGAGTGGCAGATGTCCCTTGAGCCCCATGAGCAGTGCAAGACTTCTACCCTGGGGCATCAGGTGCAGTTCCCTCCTTGAGATTTGGGGTTCATGTGTACATCATCCTCCTCTCCCACTCCTCCAAGGACCGCACCCCTCAGGGCCTGGTCAGGGCAGCAGCATCCAGGCGGCGAGCAGCAGAGGAGACCATAGACCTGCGCCTGCAGCTGGGTGCTGAAGAGCTGCTTGGATCACCACAGTTCTGCCCCTCCTCAACGCAGCCTCCCAAGGGTCTGACCTTTACCCTCGCAGAGCCAACAGGACAGTTTCTCCTGCTGGGATCATTCCTGAAGCGACCCCAAATCCCTTTTTTCTAAACTCCTAGGACCGACCATCACCCTAGGAACTGTGCAGAGGCCCAGGTCCATGGATATAGCTCCAGAGTGGTGAGTAAAAAGCCTTTCCAGTGCCCAAGACACACTGGACGGTGGGGCAAAGCACAGGGAGGCCCTTGTCACAGGGAGGGCCACGTGGGGGAGGGTTACACCATGGGAGGGTCCATGCAAGGGGGAGGGTTACTCCAGGGGAGGGACGCTCCACATGCCGGGACACAGCAGCTTTTCAAGAGGGCCTCCAGCAGCCAGGAGGCAAGCATGTAAAAATAGCCCCCCTCAACTCGAGAATTGGCGCTGCACAATTCTCTGTGTGCACACACGTACACACAGCTGCAGGGGGAGATGGCCCCAGAGGCACCCGCATGGGTGCCAAGGCAGATGCGTTTGGGTACAGAGAGAGAGAGGTTTCAGGTGAGAGCAATGAGATGGGCAGGGCACAGTCCTGCCTCCCTTTCAGAAAACCCAAAAGGGCCTGGGTTGTAGCTTGGCGCACCAGTGACAGGTTAAATTGCAACCTCAGAGTGGAGGAAACGGGGTGCAAGAGAGGTCACCAGCAGGGAGCCCTTAAGGGACCGGAGGTCACAGGGTCTCGGCAGGGTGTTGTGGTTCCCAGACACTGAGCAGGGCACTGGGTGGCTCCCAGTCATCATGCGGCCCTCATCACCTCCCCCTTCTCCACCTATCCCAGCCCGTCCAGAATCCACAGGCACAGCGGTCTGCAGATTCCTGACAGCCTCCCATGGGCCTTCTACCCCATCACTTACCACCATGATGTGCTCCGTGAGGAAGAGCAGGATGTGCTTGGGGTCTGCCGAGAATATGCCACCATACAGCTTCTCCACCAGCCGCTGGGCAAATTGGGAGATGTTCCAGAGGGAAGGTGCAGCAGCAGCCTCTGTGCTGGGCTGAGGTTCACTGCTGCCTGGGTGGGGCGTCACCCACAGGGAGTGTGACGTCATGGGGATGGCCTCCAGCCAACCTCCCACCCCACCCTCCATTCATCCAGGGCGGGTCTTTGCACCCACTGAGCAGTCAGGTCTCATAGCAAACCCACAGTGAGTGATCTGGTTGATGACCAGAAGCAAGTGGTGAAACTCAAGCCAGGGAGGCTGCCCATGATTTTGAATGCGTTTAATGCCTGAGCCAAACAAGAAGGCACAGTGCCAGGGCACTTGGCACCGCCCTGACTCAGCCTCCATGGCATCCCCACCCACAGCTCCCGCCCTTGCCCTGTCACCCTACTACTCTGAGTTACAGAGCCGGACAGGAGCTGGGCTGCCACCTGCACGTGCTCCAGTACATCCAGGAGGAGGGGCGGTGGGGGGAGAGGACCCCCAAACATCGGGAGGGGCATGTCACACGGAAGGGCCCCTCATCCTACCCTGGCGCTCAGGGCCCCTCATACAGCCTCGTTCTCTCCCCTGCTGTGGCCACCACGTGCTGCCCAGCGGCCACCCTGCTGGTGCCCAGCTCACCGCCACCCTCACCTCGGAGAAGTGGGGTGCTGCCCATGTCCAGGGTGCGGAAGATTTCCATGGTGGCCAGCAGGACTTCAGACTGAAAGTCCCGCTTCTGCTGGCTGCTGGCATTGTCCGGAGAGGCCTGAAACACAGCTGGGCATGAGACAAGACCACAAGGTCCCTGTGCCCCTGCATGGCCACACCTGGGCGGGGAGGGGCACCGATGCCTGCTCCTGCTCGGGAGCACTGCCCTCTGCCGTGCCAGCCACTCAGGGTCATGGGAAGCTCACAGTGCTGACCACCTGGCCAATGATGACCCCGGGTGAGGCCCCTGGGACGGTCACCCAGTGCCTCTCAGGACTGGGCTCCAGCTGATCCTCATGACAGTCCCCTCCCCCATTGGCCCCTCAGCAAAACCTTGCCTCAGGCTCAGCTTCTGCAAACCCTGCCCGCCTCCAGGACCCACAGCGACCTCGCCCTTCCTCACCCACCTCCAGGAACACATCCAGCAGCTGCCACTGCTTGGGACTGGGGGCTCCGAGCAGCAGCTCCCTCAGCAAGCCCTGCGTGAACTCTCTCAGCTGCCTTTGGCCAGGATGGAAGGTAGCGGCGGGCTGCCGATCCTCTGGGATGCTGCTCCCTCCAGCTGCGGCCCCAGGACTGCCGGTGCTCCCGGTGGATTCAGTCACGGGGCCCTGGGTGACAAGGGAGCCGTAAGAGGTGCAGCTTGGCTTGCCCCAGGGCCTGACACACCTGCCTCTGCCCGGCACAGACAGAAATGGCACCGTCCCATAGACCAGTGTGCCGCTAACGGCAGTCATGGAGAGGGTGTCACCAGGGCTCGGGGCGGGAAGGACAGGCAGGGAATGCAGTGATCCCTGGCCCTGCCTCACAGTGGTGGCCCTGTTTGTACCCCCTGCCCAAGTGGCAGACGGTCAAGTGAGAAAGAGGGTGACCCCGAACTGCATGATCCCTTCAGCAAGGAGCCCCCAAGCCCCTTGAGCTCAGTTTCTTATTGGAGGTTTATGAAGCTTCCAGGAGCCAGTGAGATGGGGTCGTTGCCCAGGCCACCCCTCCCGGAGGACACAAAGATGCTGGAGGCCGGGTGACACCTTCAAGGACACTGGCCGTGGCCCACGTCCGGCCCTCCAACCTCTGCACTTTCGTCTGTGAGCACCTCCCTTTGCTCATTCATAAAACTCATGCAGCCACTCTTAATTAAGCCATAAAATGAATTTAATGGCCCCTGGGGAGCTGGTGACTGCATTAATCAGCTCCACTCGGCCTCGATTGGAAAGATGCCATGTAAATAACCCACAGCAAACCAGAGCCTTGGGTTCACAGCTTTTTGGGGACAAAGGGTCCACCATGACCCTGGGCAACAGAACCTGGCAGAGCTGGTGCAGAACTGGGACCAGCATGGAGGGGGATGGCGGGGGCCTCAGAACTGGAGCCAGGAGCCCCTGTTGGCCCATGGGGCACTGGCTGGCTGGAGGGCAGGGGCTCTGGGCTGGGTCCTCCTCCCCCAGGCAGCTCCTGGCTGCTGTGGACTCTAAGGGTGGCCTCAGGGTTGCAGCCACGCATCACTGCTCCAAGCCTGCTGCTGTCACAGCTAAGGGCAGTCGTGGAAAGGGCTCACCAGGGCTTGGAGGTACAGTGGCCCTCGGACTCACAGCCCTGGCTCCATGCAGGGGCAGCACGGGCAGCCCAAGGGGAGGCCCCTGTTCCTGGCCTGGCCTGCAAGGGTTAACCCACCTCCCCACCCCTATACCCCTTCCCCAGTCTTTATGGCCAGTTTTCAATCTTTCTGCCCCGGTAAGTGACTTGAGTTGATGTTAATCCATCACACCATTTTGGGGCCAGTTTTTCCTTTTTATGTATCTCCTACTATTCTTCATCAAAACTGATTCTCATCACCCTTTAATCCCCCTGGGGGTTGGACACCCTCGGGTACCAAATTCCGCATCTTATAGAAGATGGTGCCGTGTTTGCATGTAACCTGTCCATTTCTCCTGGATCGTTTGTCTTTAAGTGACGTACAGTGCCTGCTAGGACACCGGTGCCGTGGGAATAGCTGCCCTACTGTGCTCTTTAGGGAAATCTGCTCACCTTCAGCACAGATAAAACCTCCCTAAAACTACTTTCTCTCGGGGGCTGTGCAGACCCCAGAGGCAGAGCCCGAGGTTACAGAGGGTTGGCTGCTCTCCCACACTTTACCTGGTGCTTGCTTCTATTTTCAAACGGCCATCATGGGGCCTGAAGAATGGCCAGTCCCCTTCCCCAGGTGGGGGAGGAGGTTTCGGGAGGAGAGAGTACACTTTAGGACTTGGCTGTGTCACATATTAACGCCAGGATCTTTGGCACATGGCCATCCCTCAGTGGTTCTGTGACATGTGTCTCACTGTCCTCTGACTCACAAGGACTCAGAACACTACTTTGTCTCTGAGCCTCAGTTTCCCTTCCTGGACACCACCTGTTCAGGGGCTACTAGAGTGACTTAAAGCTCAAGGCTCAGGCCCGGTGTGTCCCAGGGTTCCAGAGATGGATGCTGTCACCATGGATACCCTGGGAAAGGTCAGCCAGCAGACCCAGGACCTTGTCTTCCAGACCCATCTGAGTCCTTCTGTCCCCACCCCTGGCTTGCCTGGCTCCAGACTGGAAGCCACAATCGCTGGCTGGCAGAAGCCCAAGCTATGCCCCAAACAAGAGTCACCATCTCCAGGCCAGGCATCCACAAAGAACAGGACCTGGTCTACCATCCCATTGCTCATTACTGAGGTTCCCTTAGCAGAGAGAGATGAGGAAGTTCTCGGACCAGCTCCCCAGGGTGGGTGTGGTGGCAAACTGTCCTACCTTTGGGGGTCCCATGGGGAAGGTGACTGTGGCCAGGGTCTGCAGGAATTCCGGCGCCCTCCAGGCTGGGTCCTCGGGGTAGGTGCGGTGCACCAGGCCCAGGAAGTGCAGCATGCTGGCCGGGAATGTCCGCTCCCAAGCGTCTTCCTCACGCCCTGCTGAGGACTGAGGACGCACTCCGTGAGATGAGTTGGGGTCGGGGTCGGGGTCAGGGTCAGGGTCCATGGCAGCAGGACCCAACAGCCTAAGCCCAGACCGCAGCCTCCTCCCCAAGATCACAAAGGAGGCACTGCACGAGACTGCGGCCAGCCTGAGTGGGCGTCCCAGGGGGATGGTGCAGTGAGCTCAGATGCTGTCCCCAGGCTGCACATGCTGTCCTCTCCTTGCCACACAGCACCCCTGTGAGCTAGGCTCTATGTGGACCCACACAGAGAGGTTCCACTGCCTGCCAAGGTTATACCATGCTGAGGATCAGAGCCAGGGATGGACCCCAGTGGACCACTGTCCTCCCGGTGCAGCTGCCATGGAATTAGACACAGGATGCATGCTGAGCCCAACGAGAATGCCCACCACAAGCCACCATCTTCCCCAGCCCGCTGCTAACTCCCTCCTGGACAGTAACTGGATGCACCCTGTCTCCCGCTGGCAGGGTCTGGAATGGGTCACGTCTGAGCTGGTCCCACTACCCTGTCTGGCTATTAGTGTTGCCCAACACTGTGACCTCTTCAATGCCTCTTGGCCTCATGACCCACACAGGGAAACTGGAACCCAATTGCAGAAAGAAAGGCCAGATGCAGGGAATCATAGCTCTGGGGCCTGGCGGGGGTCTGGGCTGGGTAGGATCAGGCGGAGGAACCGTTTCTGAAGCCACCTGCATCTGAGCTCCCCAGACCCTGCAGCATAGAATTAGATTTGCAGGAGAGAACGTGCAAGCAGAAGGCAGAGAGTTATCTCAGGAGTTCGTCAGCCTGGAGGGAAGTCAGCCTCTTCCACTGAGCTACATCCCCAGTCCTTGATTACTTCCAGACAAGTCGTGCTGTAAGTTGCTAAACTGCCCAAACTAGGCTTGCGCTCGGATTCTCCTGGCTCAGCCTCCCAGAGTCCTGGGATTACAGCTGTGCACCACCACGCACAGCTGGACCAGCCCCTTATTACCACGACGCCTTGGGCTCCAGCTTTATTGAATGAGAATCCTGATGCGACCTATTTCAGAAGGTTGCTGGGAGAAGCGAGTGAGACATTTTAGCAATGAGACTTCTACAGCCGCTAGCGCAGGGTAAAAACAGAAGCAGCTATGAGACGAGATCAGAGACAGAGAATTTGGAATTCTGGAAGAGGAATTTGGATTCGGTCCACCAGTCTACAGAGACCCTTGAAGGTCAAGTTATGGCCAACAAAGTGCTAGGCACATGTGACCTCTGTGCCTGTGGTCTGTGACCTTGTTTGAATGGAGTTTCTATAGCGGAGGGAATGCCGTCTCTTCCAATGGATTATCACATGCAGTAGAATGTCTGATATTAAAAAAAGTTAACTAACAGTGAAAAACACTGGCAAGGGTATACAGCCAGAGGAGGAGCAGAGGACTGTAAATTGGTCCTTCTACTTTGAAGAATTTATTTGGCATTGTTGACTTAAGTAAGTCCAACATGTCCCAACAGAAGGGAAATGTCCACCAAAAGACAGGAATGTGGAAACTTTATCCCTGACATTTCCAAAGTGAAACCACGCAGAATGGATTGTGATTAATTACAAGAAAATAGCACTCTGCCGTGAAAAAGCTGAATTACTGACATCCACGACAACACAAGTGAATCCCATGACCTCGTGATGAGAGGAAGAAGCCAGATGCAAAAGAATATGCACTGCATGGCTGTTTATTTCCAGGTACCCCAAAATTAAATGCACACTAGCCCTACAATTGAATGAACAAATATGTCAAAGATGAAAAATGCACTGCCATTATAATCAGACCAGGGTAAAAACTACAAATAGATAAAAAATAAAAATCAAAAAAAAACCAACTACATGGGCACTGAAAAATAGGAATCAAAGAGATCTTTATAATTGCAATCACGAAAGTTCTAGAAAATAAGCAAAAATGAAGGTGCTACCTATAAAAATCTTAGAAGTTGACAGAAACAATCTCAGGAAACTGGTTAACATATCTAAGATCTGATTCTTTAAATAAATCCGCAAGCCTTATCCCCTAAGTAGAAAGAAAAGTATGACAGAGAAAGAATGGGAGCTTCCAAATTAAGAGCAAGAAGCAATAAACAACACAGAAAATTAAATGAATTAGAAGAGACCTGCCATAGTTTATGTCTAGGGTGTCCTCCAAGGGCCATGCATCGAAGACTTGGTCTCCAGCCTGGCTCTGCTGGGAGGTAAAGGAAACTTTAAGGGGTGGAGCCTAATGGGAGGTCTTTAGGTCATTGGAGTCATGGCCTTGGAGGGGACCAAGCACTCCTGATGTCTCCCTTTCTTCTTTATTGCAATCTGGCAGTGAAGTTAGAAGTCTTGCTGTGTCCCACAGTTTTGCTAGGATGACTCACTACACGTTCTAAGCAACAGACCAACTGAGTGAGGAACGGAAAGGTAATTAACACAAGACCACTTGTGCAAATCGAATAAATGAAAAATTATGTCTAAATGCCAACTAACTGAACTGGGTCAAGAAGACATTCGAAAGCTGTAAATAGTAATCATGAAAAACTTTAGTCATGGGCAGCCTCATAGAAAACCATTTAAATCACGTAAGAGTTGTAGATTTATTACATTCTTGACTATAAAGGAGGTTAGTCACTTTTATATAAACTAGAACGAGACCAACATCAAAAACTCATAAAGATATAACAAAAAAAGCAAACTGCAGTGCAGTATCATTTACAACTTGGTGACTACAAAATCATAAATATTTACAAACAAAATAAGGAAATACTCTCTAAAAAATTAAGAACCGGACGGCTAAACAAGATCTTTGTAAAAGTGCTGTAAAATCTATTGATATAATTCATGATAGAGAACTGGAAAAAAGCACACAGCTGTTGACTTATATGCTAAGAGACTTTTGAATTAAAGTGAAAAAAATCTTGTCTTCAAAAAGGGCAAAAAGCGTGATCTATATTTTCTCCACATAACCACACATGAATACATACGCACAGAAACTGGCAAAGGACGTAAGCAGTTCTCAGAAAAATAAACAGAATTAATACACACTTGAAAAGAGATTTTAAAAACAGGGTAATAGCATGTACAAAAGAACTCAACTATGGAACAAGCGTCTCCCAAGCTGGGAGACTGCTGTGGGCTAAGGATGGAGCCATGGACTTTGATACAGGACACAGATGGACCCGGGACCATAAGCTGTGTGATGTACACACGCGATGTTTAATGCAACCTTCCTGAGAAGCACATACAGTGTGCACTGTGATCGGAAGTCCACTCCCCAGAGTTTACACTGAGGAAGTCTTCAATGAAATGGTGTCTGTTCAACAAAGTTCCTTGAACAGTTTTTGTGACAACACTGAAGACCAACATAAACTTCCATTACAGGCACGGCTGATTCCCATGGTCTCCCACTCTACTGATGTGGAAAGACATTCACGAAATCTCGAGGGAATACTACAAAAAGAGTTTTGTGGTCTCCACATCGGTAAGGTCACACTGTGACCTGTAGATGCTGGGAGCCACCAGATGCTTGCCTGTGTGGGGAAACGCTGTTGGTTTCACAAAGTGCGTCTCCAGTCAGGGTGCACAGAGCACCTTGGGCCCTGTAGGCTGGGCTTCCTGTTGCACTAAGTCACCCCTGGGAGCCTCCTCACCTCTTCCGTTTCATCTTACTAGTTACCACCTGCTGTGGCTTGGGTGTGTCCCCTGAAAGTGCATGTGCTACAAGCTTACACCCCAAACCCTCATGCTCATGGTACACAGAGAAGGGGCCGTTGGGAGGTGATTGTGACGAGAGTGATGGCACTGATGTCCTTAGAGGAGCAAGTGAGATCTGAGCCGTCTTAACACATGATGCTCCACCCTGCTACGGTGCATCAAGACAGCATCGCCAGAGAACTCAAGAGCATGGCCTCCAGCCTGTGAGCTTAACTAACCCCTCTCTTTATAAAATACCTGGTCTTGGGCATTTGGTGACAGCTCCTCAGAGATGACTAAGACATCAGCATCCCTGGGAAGCTACTGGGATGGGAAGATCACGGTGGGCCTTCCCCACTCACCTCCCAGCAGCACCTTCTGGGGTGGCATGTGGGAAGTGCTCTCACCTGGCTCATGGTGGCTCTCAGCATCTCCAGGAGCAGCAGGGCACCTTCTGTGCACAGCCCAGCCCGGAGCACCTCTTGCTGGTGATGCTTCTGCAAGAGCCACTGCAGCATGGCATCTAGGCTGTCCTGCAGGAGGACACAGGGCTGAGAGGAGAGCCAGGGCGCATGCTCCAGGCACCCACCCGTTCTGTGGTCCACGCAGCATCTGCTCTGGGGCGACCCCAAGAGCACAGCACCCCAGCAGCAGAGGAGGAGCAGTCTAGGAACTGTGCCAGAGGTGGCCTTGGACCTGAGTCTGGAGAGGACACTCCTGCCAGGTAGGTGACAAGGGAAAAGGGGACCATAAAGTCACCGAGTGGGTGAATTCAGAGCAGCTGATCGTCCTGGAGGAATGACCCAGTGGAGGACAGCAGAGAAGGCACGTTAGAGACAGGTCAGGGACGCAAGCACAAGGGAGCTTGGTGTCTCCTCCAGAACTGAACCCCATCTGGTCAGAGCGCGAGGCTGTGGAGGGTGAGGTTGGTGCGGGGCACTGGGGGAAAGGAGGGTCGGATGCCACGCCCAGTGAAGGTGGACCCCTCTTGGATTATTTTCCAGAAAGGCTGAGAATGCGGTAAATGGACACCATGAGGTCCCGAGAAGAGCCCAGGTCAGCTGCTGGCTTTCAAGGGGAGAGTGTAACACACTTGTGTCTACAAGGATCAGTCAGTGGGATGGGAGACATGGAAAAGACAGTGCAGAGGAGGACAAGGGTGGCCTGAGTTCTCTGGGAAGAAGGCACAGAGTCCCGGACAGCCTGGAAGCCAGGCTCTCTGATGCCCGTGGTGAGATGTCAATGAGGTGGGTTTCAGGGGAAGCAGCTGCCTCGCCAGGACCCAACTTCTCCGCTGGGTCCAGGAAGGGAAAGACTTTAACCTGAGACTTATCCAAGCCGGGCTTGCAGGAGAGAGACGGCTGAGGCTCAGGGGGTGATGGGCTGAGAGGAGGCTGCCTGAGAGCTGCCCGGGTGTGGGCCATGGGGAAAAGCGCGAGCCTGGCACTCCCAGCCCGAAGGACCAGTGGTGGTGAGCAGTCTCAGGGCGCTGCCTCAGTCCTGTGGAATCAGAAAGCCAAGTGCCCCCTCGGCCCCGGGGCACCCCCAGAATCTACCTTGGGCCCATCCGTCAGCTCTGTCAGTGGTGTCTGCAGGAAGAAGCTCGACAGGATGAGGTAGACTTCGGGGACATGAACACGGTGGCCCAGGAATTCGGCCAAGACACGGAAGCCGGGCAGCAGGCAGGGGTTCGGCTCCGCCACAGCTTGGGGCATCTTCAGGTTGTCTGTGGGTTGGAGAGGAGGCACAAGACAGAGCCGGTCAGGGTGGGTGTGGACACAGCAGGGGTTCCTGCTACACACCCCTATCTTAAGAGACACTGGACGAAAATACATGTTCACAAAGTTGAGCAAAAGGAGGAACCTGGCTGAAATTCATTTTCCCAGTCCTGACACCTCATCCATCCATCCATCCATTCATCCGTCCATCCATCTGTCCATCCATACATCTGTCCATCCATCCGTCCATCCATCCATCTGTCCATCCATCCATCTGTCCATCCATACATCCATACATACATCCATCTGTCCATCCAACCATCCATCCATCCATCCATCTGTCCATTCATACATCTGTCCATCCATCCATCTGTCCATCATCCATCCATCCATCCATCCATCCATCCATCCATCTGTCCATCCAACCATCCATCCATCCATCCATCTGTCCATTCATACATCCGTCCATCCATCCGTCCATCCATCCATCCATCTGTCCATCCATCCACCCATCTGCCCATCCATCCGTCCATCCATCTGTCCATCCATCTGCCCATCCATACATCTGTCCATCCATCTGCCCATCCATACATCTGTCCATCCATACATCCTTCCATCCATCTATCCATCCATCCATCCATCTGTCCATCCACCCATCCATCCATCCATGTATCCATCCATCTGTCCATCCATCCATCTATCCAACCATCCATCCATGTATCCATCCATCCATCTATCCATTCATCCATTCATTCATCTAGCCAACCATTCATTCGTGCATTCATCCGTTTATTAATTCATTTGCCCATCCATCCATTCAGTAACTCAGCTATTCATTGACTCAAAGACAAATATGTACTAAATGCCAACCACCTGGGAAGCAGGCAGGCAGTTTTGTATCAGGCAACTTGGATACAGAAGCACAGAGAGTGTGGAAGGGGTGTGTAAGTGGCAAAACACAAACACCAGTAGAAAGTGAGCAGCACTGCAGAGGACAGGAGGAGAGGGACAGAGAACTGACAGAGGTGTCCTGACGTGGGCAAGTCCCTCCTCTCCTGGAGGAACCGAGACTCACTCGAACCATGAACCCTGTGGCACACAGATAGCAGAGGCCAGTTGGGAAGTTCTGATCCTTGTGGGGCATGCGATCAAATGGGGAGCCTAGGAATGCTGGGGAGCAGCATTCAGGGGCGCAGAGCATGGAGGCAGAGGTGCCACCCAGTAGTCCTGAGGCAAGGGCCGATCTGGAGCCATCTGGGAGAAGCCCAGGCGGCCCAGCTGCAGGGTGCTGCACAGGTCCTGTGGCATCCTCATATCTCAGGAGGAGAAGGTGCCCACACTCACCCATCATGGTGGCCACGCCTTCAGCGCTGTGCTCCACCCAGGAGCCCACAGACAGGCCATCCTTGAATTGGGCACGGAGGGAGGGGCTAGACAGGAAGAGCAGCAGCAGCTTCAAGGCCAGCACGGTGGTGCTGGGGTGCAGGTGACCCTGCAGGAGCAGCAGGAACCAGTCAGGGCCCAGGCTCACAAACATCTCCTCCTTGGACCTGGGGATCAGTAAGTAGAGTCCATTACCTTTCAGCCACTTCCGGAAGAGACAAAGCCCAGCCCACAAATCCCCGGGGAAAGGCAGTGCAGGTTGGTATTTATTGATGGCCTAGAGAAGCGCACACAGCACATTTTGAAAGAATGTGGAGAAAAATGGTGGCAGAATTGCTGCACAGTGGATAAATTTGTTCATTAATTGCTGCAACATAAGTTGGCCAAAGCTTTGCAAAGCACCTGGGAGCTGTGCATGGAGAAAGGTGAAATCGTGTGGACTCCTTCATTTCCCAGCTTCCCCACTCCTCGCATGTACATAGTGCAGGAACAGCCGCCTGTGTAATTTAATTACACTGGCCCGTCACAGAAAACACAATGCTTCATTATCTCCTTTTTAAAGACATTAGTCACAACTACTCTAAATTGCCTGGTGTGGTGGCGCACGCCTGTAATCCCAGCACTCAGGAGTCTGAGGCAGGAGGATCGTTAAGAGTTCGAGACCAGCCTGAACTACAAAGTGAGCTTAAGGCCAGCCTGGACTGCATAGTGAGACCCTGTCTCAAAAAGACAAAAAGCTACTCTAAGTGGAATGGTCTAATATTTAGTCATCTCTATCAGTTTACGCAAAGAAAGGCCATGGACTACCATTCTCAAAACCCGTTTTAAAATGATGAGTCTGGAGAACACAGGAATGGAAAGGGCCAGGAGGGCCAGGAGGCAGGTGGCCAGGACGCTGACCAAGCACGGCATTCAGCCTTGGGAGCCGGGGAAAGAGCCATCTACACGGAGCAGTGGGGTCAGCTCCAGCTGCCAGACCAGGTGAGGCAGGGGTGGGGCTGGTGTCCACTAGAGTGAGCAGTGGACGAGGGGCCAAGGAACTGGCCTCTTTCCTAGCCCCGCCTGTGATGCTCACAGACTGGATGACTCTGGCAGAGCTCCTCATGTGCTCTGGTCACTCGACTTGGTGACGATGACCGTGAGGATGACAGGGGCGATGATGGGGATAATGGGGTGGTAATGGATGGTGTGGAGATGGCTATGGTCACAGTGGTGGTGGTCAGTGGTGGCAGTGATGGTGGTTGTGATGACAATGGTGGTGGTGGTGATGACAGCAGTGATGTGGCCCTGGTGATGAAGACAATTATAGGATGGTGGTGACAGTGGTGGTGATGCTGGCGATGATACTGATAAGTGGTGACAGCAGGAATGACAACAGTTTTCCAGACACCTCTCTCGGGTCTCTCTACACATTAGCTCACTTCCTCCTCACCATCGCCATGTATGGAAGGTATTATTTTTAATCCCACACAAACAAGTAGACAGAGGCATACAGAGCTTGCATAACATTCTGGAGTCCTTAGGGACAGAGCTGGGACCCAGCCCAGAAGGCCCAGATGCTACCATCTGGGTGCTTACGTGCTATACTACATCCTTTTAAAAAGACGAAAAAGAATAGGGCCACACTAGCTCGCCGCCAAAGCATCCTCCAGTGTCAACCCGCTACATCACCAAAAAACGTAAACTTGCAAAAATGTAAATTTGCAACTAAAATTTGCAAGGTCGCTTCGCTGAGGGGTGACCCCTCCCCACCGCGAACACACAGACACACTGAGTGTAACCTCAGAGAAGCTGAGGAATTGTATGGACGTGCTCACAGCTGCATCCCAGGAGTCAGAAACAGTGGCTGGAATACAGTAGGCACTCAAAATATAGTCGCCTGACAAATGGCTCCAGGACGGCAAGCAAGCAGCCAGGAGTCCACAGAATCAGTTTTATGGCTCCACATTACTTTGGAAGTCAGCTGAAGGCAGATAGCACTGCTTTTCCAAATTGGGAAAAAAACTAACACACTAGGAATAAACAGCGGAGGAATTTGGCAAGGCTTTGCCTTGATGGATGTGACTTGGGCTAACCATTTCTCCATCCTGCTGTCTGCCAAGCACAGGACATCGAAGGCAGTGATCATCATAACCGCAGAACAGTAACAATCATAGGACGGCAATGGTGACACAAGAGCTGATTGAAATGACACCAAATCTGCTCCTGGTCACCCTTGCCCATTGAACTCTTGCATGCGATATCTCAGGGCAAGGTCTGGTTGATCGGGTGAGGAAAATACAATGTTTGTTCCGCCTCGTGTAGGAAACGCATCATGGAAACAGACTCGGAGATGCCAAACTTTTCATTAAGGAAAGGATTTAATACCGCAGCCCTGTAGGAGGCAGCCTTGTGCCAAATTGCTCTTCCCCGGAGCTACTCACTCGGAGGACAGATGGAGTTGGGGGGAAGATATTACGCCGAGCAGCATCTCCAACAACTGGTTTCTGAGGCTGATTGTCTGTCCAGATGTTTGGCTTCCAGCTACAAAGCAGAAAATTCAGATTTGAGAGGAAACGGATGTAAAGCGATATAACGTTGGCCCAGTGAGCCATCGGATTCATCAAACGCTTAGTTTGCTCAGGAATTGGGGCACGGATGGGACTCGAAATTTTGGCAGGCAATTCTGGATTACAAGGCGATCGTAAAAAAAAAAAAAAAAAAAAAGAATTTTGGGAAATGCTGCTAATGTTCCCTTTACCTAGAAATGTCTTCCTCGGATCTGTCTTTGAAAACAAAAATTCAGATAGATCGGGCAATGCCATCCCAGCGTGTCTTCTGTGACAGTGGGACTGTTTTGTGCCTCTCCAGTCCAGGACCTGGTCCCTGGCCTGTGCCTCCCTGAGCTCTTGGAACAGGCAAGGCTGAGGAACTGACTTTTCGACTGCATTTCTGTTCAATGAATTAAATTGGAAACGTAAATGGTCGCACTGCCAAGAGGCTCTGGTGTTGGGCAGCACAGGCCTACAGGGCCTGGGAGACAGTGGACACCACGGTCCCCTCACACGTCTCAGCAGAGAGGACACAAGGCAGGCCACCAGCCAGCACCCAGTCGGGGCGACAAGGCAGCCTGAGGAAACCGATCCCACACTGCACACGGCGCGGAGCCCCAGGGGCCTCCGAAGAAGAGGAGGACACAGGGTGTGGCAGCACAAGGCGGTGTGGCAGGGCGGGGACACTGGTGTAGAGGAGGAAGCGGGGATAGTGCGTGCAGGGGTGGCATCTCTGGAGAGATGAGCTTGGGCAAACCAGACGCGGAGGCTGCCACCTTAGGGTGCTCAGAGACCTCAGGTGCCCACAAGTGTGGGAGCCAGGGTGGCAGGGGTCCACCGGGAAAGCACCACTGATGCCCAGGTGCTGTCCCAGGGAGCCACCCCTCCTCTGCAGTTCAGAGCCCAGCTGAGGTTCTAGAGCAGGAATGCACCCCGATTCTTCTCAGCTATGGTGCTTCCCCATCGCCCTCAGCCCCTAGCATTCAGGCAAAGTCCCTCACCAGGTGCCGAGGAGGCCAGGGCTCCGTCCACGCAGACCTGCGTCTCGTCCACAGAGGAAGGCTTGAGGGTATACACAATGAACAGCCCGATCCTGGGCACAGCAGGACAGAAACAGGAGGGGAATCATGTTAGCCTGTGGTCCGCACAGTATTTCCAGAAACTTCTAAACTCTGTTGGGATTCATCAGAGCAGTGACCTCTGTGTTGGTGGATGTGGAGAGGGAGGCTGAGGGTGGCACCAGCTGGCAGGCACATGGGTCGAATGCAGGAGCCACAACAGGTTGGCCACACTCAGGGAGTCTCAGGGGTCGGCAGATGCCAGGGGAGAAAACCACTTCTCGCCCCAATCCTCCCCGTTTCTTCCAGCTCCCATCTGTGAACAGGAGCCTCCCCAGCAGGACCCTAGTGGGCTGAGCACAGTGAGGCCACAGCCGGCCCCTGTCCCTTTGTACCTAAGCAGGTCCCGGATGCTGAAGTGGCCCCTCAGCTGGCAGCCCAGGATGCCAATGATGGTGGGAACCTTGGTGGGGGCGAGGCTGGGCTCGTTGAAGAGAAAGACGAGCTTGGGGATGAGCTGGGCCTGGTGGGCGACCTCGGCGTTCCTCGCCCCTTCCCTGCAAGCCCAGGAGAGAGGCAATGAAAGCTTTTACGGGAATGAACCGAATTCACTCTGTTTCTGCTAAAAAGCTTTTCGACACTGACTTTAGGGCTTCTTGGCATCTTGTCAAGATGCCATCAGAACCATCGAATATGCATCTGCCGAGTGCCAGAGTCGCTGGGGCAGCACCCCCAGCCTCCATCCTCCGGAAACCGCCTTCAGAGACAAACCCCAATTATTGACTTTTAAATCCTGAGCCTCCAGGAAAACTAACGTCGGCCTCAGAAACTCAGCAGCAAGACAGCAGACACTCAGGTGACCCGCAGCCCGTCCCCAAGCAAAAGTGAGGGTCTGTCTGGGTGTGTGTGCCATCTTCCTGCCCGTCTAAGCCACAAAGTGGACTCGAGTATTCCTCCTTGGGGTAACCACAAAGCCAGTTTCCAGTAAATTCTACTCTCCCAAAGAAAGCAGCTCCCGGGGTAAATGTCTGTTTCTTAGAAAACAGCAATTTCAAAGTAAAAGGGAAGGGGGGGAGGGGCGGGCAGAGGAGGAGGGGACCTGGGGGAGCACTGAGCTGTGCTGAGCCGCACACCCCAGTACCCGACGACGGGGGAGGAAGCAGCCCCATCCTGGGCCCTGCGGGCTTGGCTGCCCCGACAGGTGTGTGCTTTACCGAATACCCAGCATTAAACCTGAGGTGGGAAATAGCTTATAACAAGCTCTCCATAGTAAGAGTCTGCCTGAAGAAATGTTTGCAGATACATCCCAAATGCTAAGTGGACTTGTGGCCGCAGGAACAGGCGGAGAGAGGAGACAGGGGCAGGAGGACCCTCCACAGCGCCTCTGGACTCCCTCTGACTGCCTCTTGCCAATCACTCCAGAGGAGAAGCCAGGCAGCCAGCCCAGCTACACGGCCCAAGCTGGCTCGCAGAAACTCAGCCCTATTTGCAGGACCATTGAGTCATGAGACAGCCCTGGCTCTGCCACCCCTGCTAAGCGGAGGAGCTGTGACGAGGAGCTGCCCAGCAGCCACCTGGAAAACAGGGAAGTGGTCTGCAGGAGCAATGCAACAGACAGAGAGGGACAGGAGCAGGGACAGAGCTCAGGCACAGTCACCTGGGCACAAGGCCGGGGAGAGGGCTGCCAATTCCTCTTGAAGGAGCCGTGCACTCCTCCTTGAACCGTCCCCTTCCCTTCCCTCCTCCTTCCCTCCCCTCTTCCCCTTTCTCCTTCCTCAAGCTGCCTTGGGTTCTGTTTCTGCCCCTTGCAACCAAAACAGCCCTGATCAGTCAGAAAAGTGGCTGGACAGTCCTGGGGGACAGCAGGCTGAGCAGCAGGACGAGTCCTGAGCTGAGCTCTCCTCTCCTGGCCACGCTGGCTGAGCCCAGATTTGGTGCTGGTGCCCTGGGCTACAGAGACTTCTAAGCCCCCAGCTCCTGTTCTCCTGAGCCCAAGGCCATCAAAGGACAGAGAACTCTCCCATGTGCGTGACCACCCTCCGGATGCAGGCAGGAGGCCTCGGTTGTCCTGTCCTCTCAGGCCTATTTCTTGGCAGGAAGACTGTCTTCCTTAAAACCGACCCAGGGCTGTGGGCACCCACCTACCTCGGCGACTGGAGGATGTCCCCAAGGTGGGAGAAGAGGGCCAGCTCCAGGTTGTCCGCAGTGTTCATCCAGAGCTGGAAGACAGGACGTGTGCCCTGAGGCCAAGGCACATGTGGGGCAGGGTCTGCGGGCAGCGTAGCCCTGGGTCTCCTGCATCCAGGAGCCAGCTCTGCAATGGGACCAGCTTCCCTGACCTCAGGTAGATGAGCGCGCTTCTCCTGGGGAGGCTCAAACTCAGCCCTGTCCTCCCAGCTCACTGCTGCCTGGTGCTCATCGTGGGTCTGGATCCCAGTCAAGGTCACCTGCACCCACCAGGCCTGCATCTGCCCAGTGCTGAGCCTACACCACTGAGACCACATGCCGGACACATTGCATTCACATAGGAGTTTGCAAGACCACAGAGGTCCCACTCTACAGATAAGAAAGTAAAGGCAGAGACAGAGCAGCTGAGTGGCAAGCATCATTCACCACCACCAAGTGGGAGGAGGACACCAAGCCCTAGTTTTTCGGGTTTTACATTCATGGAACACGCATGGCTTTGTGCACAGCAAAAAGCAGCTGTCACTGTGCCTCAGGCAGGACTGGTGGCCTGGCTTCCCATCCCGTTGCTTCTTTCTTCCTATTTATCATCACCAAATCCTGACAGTTCCCAAAGCCCAGGATACAGCAGGTAGGGACCTGGGGTCATACGAGTGTCCCCAGAGCGGCAAAAATGCCCAGCCTGCAAACAATATCAGGTGCTCAAGGAAAGAGAGGCCACAAAAGTCCTCAGATGCTGAGCCATGGGACAGAGCTGCAGGAAGATGCGTTTCAAGGTACTCCTGGGACACCTGAAATCACAGCTCTACGGGCACTGTTTGTCCTGTACTTATAAACCTATGACAGAGCTCATTTTATAAAGCAGACACAGCAGGAGATCGACAGTAATAACTGACAGCAAAATTGAATTACAGTAGCAAATACTGTCGTGGCTTATTTAAAATTTATGAACTGTTGATTTCTGGAATTTTCCATTTAATAGTTTTGGACTAACTGGACCTGTCTTGAGTGAAGCCACAGAAAAGGGGGTACTATGGTGTCTTTGTTTAGGAAAGAAGGGGCTTGACGCTCAGGGAGGCTGAGTCACCCTAGTCTCCGGTGGGCAGAGACTGGCATCAAAGCCTGGCATTGTCTTGTCTACACAGTAGACGGGGCAGACAGTGACCCCCAGGGCCGATGAGGACCCCACTGTAAACTGGCGGTGTCCCCACTTCATGTCCTGACTGCAGAGAAACACAAAGGGCCCTGTGGACATAGTTCCTCAGGAGGGGTGCGTGCAGGGACCAGCTCTCTCCAGCCCAGGAGCCTGGGGTCACACAAGCTGTGTGTGGTTATTACGGGTCACTTAGATTTTTTACAAGAAAGAAAGCAAAGCAAGTAAGTGTGGTGCTTTGAAACCAGACCCAGCTGACAGCTTTCCAGCCCTCAGGGTAATTTAATACAAGCCCAGACACTGCCAGAGGACACACAGAGAGGTCGGGGAGCATTTATCCATGAAACCAGCCATTCGGCCACAAACCACGGCTCCTGCTCCCTGCCTCGAGGCCGCAAGCTGAGGAAGGACAGACAAACCTACCACCTAGCAGTCGGGTCCCCTGTCGACAAACCTACCGCCTAGTAGTGGGGTCCCCTGTCCCCTGCCTGCAGGAGCGCCCAGCCCCCCATTTCCTTCCAGCATTAGAAGAACATCTTACCACGAGTCAAGATTATTAACTTCCTAGAAACGTATTTATGCATTTATTCATTCACTCACTGCCTTAGCACTGGGGGTGGAACCCAGGGCTTTCATGCTGGGCTATCTCCCCAGCCCTGTTCAACCATTTTATTTTGAGACAGAGTCTCAGTAAGTCACTAAGTTCCCCCAGCTGGAATCAGACTTACCACCCTTCTGCCTCCGCCTCCCAGAGCACAGAAATGTCTTTGCACTGTACTAAATATCTGAATTTTGAGAGAGAAAATTGGTCTTCTGATCATTGTCCTGCAACACATAACCCTATACCAAGGAATGTGCTGCAGCGCCTGGATTAAACTCATCTGAACAGCAAATGGGCAAAGTCAGATGCTACTCTGTCCCTCACCCTGAGACCACTTCGCTCTCAGAAACGAGGTGCTTTAAGAAACCAGAAGCCTACGACTTGAATCCCTCGGCTTCTGTCCCTCCCTGCCTCTCAGCCGCCTGTCTGCTCCTTCTTCTGTTTCTGGTTCTTCCCTGACATCAGGGATCGCGCCCGCTTGTCTCCAAACTCTCCATCTTCTTTTAGGACCTTTCTACCAACAATCTCTTCCCTCAATAATTGAGAAACTGGCCCATCTTTAGCACCTCTCCCCCTCGAGCTGCTCTCAGACTTAGGTCTCCCACTTGCAACACAAACCCCAAGTCCCGAGACCCCTCCTCTTTCTTTTCCAGTATCGTACTCAGGACTTGGGCAGCTACATTTATGATTAAGATTGTCCTGAGGAAGGACAGACAAACCTACCACCTAGCATTGCCTGCACTGTGCTGTATGTGGTCTCCTGGTCTCAGGAGAGCTGTCCGGTGAGCCAGGAGGGCGCCCATCCCTCCTGCCTCCTGGGAGGGTTACTGAGTCTGGGGCCACCTGCTGCCTGACCCACAGATTTTCCCTACAAACCCCTTGGACCTAGAGTCTCCTTACAGAGGAGGTTGGCTTCTAACATTTCAAACCAACGGTTCCATTCACTTGATGGTGATAAATCTTGTGGGCTTCTAATTTCCTTTTGAGTAAGCAAGCCCAAGAATCGTAAGTTTTCTTTGAGGTTGTCCATATGAGCTGAGTTCTCTAAGTCATTCATGCAAAACCTCCGACCTCATTTTTATGTTATCTTTCTCACTGCAGCATTCTCCCCTTTCTTCTTCCCCCTATCATTCGTTGGGGCTTTCAACTGTCTTGTTCAGAGCTGGGATTGGAACTCGGGGCCTTGCACGTCAGCCAAGTGCTCTACCACTGAGCTACACTTCCAGCCACCGATTCACCTTAACAGAGGTTTACCCGTGTTATGGGAACCAGGTCTTAGTGCTCCTCTGAATATTTTATCTTTCCTGTTTTATGATTTTTTTATTTTTTCTTTCTTTCTTTCTCTGAACTCTGCTTTTGGTTTTTTTCATTTCCTTGGTTGGTTGGTCATTCTAACTTCCTGATTTAGAAGCTCTATGCAATAACTTAAAAATGTTTCTCTTTCTCCTGTAGACCTGGGTGGCTACAAATCCCCAGCCCTCTTTCCACAGCAGCCCGCAATATGCCACCGACCTTCAATTCTAATCTGAGTTATGGCTTCTTCATGGATCCCCCTCTTCCAACCCTCTGCCTTTGCCTGAACGTAGGTTTCAAATTTTCCACCTGAATTTCTGCAGCCATCTCTTGATCAGGCCCCTGCTCCAGGCTCTTGCAACCAGAGTGACTCACCTAAAATAAAATCCTAAGGTGCCCATCTTCACCTAACATCCTGTTAACAGCAGCGGTGTGGCACAGGGTACTGACTTTCTAAAAATGGTGTCCAAGGGCCTCATCCTCACAGAGCACCTTGGATAGCTCATTCTAAAAGTGGTTTTAACATGGGAGGAGCACTGTCACCGGAGCAGTGCTGAGGGCACCAGGGACACCCTGCGTGGCGGAATGTCCCTCTGACCTCAGTGGCTGTGTGTGTTCAGAATGAAAATACTAAAACGCATTTGTTACGCAGCAAAAGGCAGGGCTCCCAGCAACGGCTCTAGTGGGATCACCAGTGTGATCAGGGACAAAACACAGAGAGAATCACCCAACCTCGACATCAGGGCCAGGGTCTTGGATGTAGGAGGGCCTCAGCCAGAACTTTCTAATTTAAAACTCTACGAGAAGAGCAAGCTAATCTGTAAGAAAGACCACTTTCAAATCATCCCCTAGGCTTCCACCTAGAGAGGCTGAGGCGTGCACCCAACCAACCGTCTGCACCGGTGCAGACAAGCTGTGTCACTAGGCTGCGGGCACAGGAAGCCAGGCTGTGCCCACGTGGAGGATCCACAGGTGGAAGACCCCCACCCGGAGGCTCTTTCCCCACTGGATTCAACAACTCAGCCCCAGCCCCCACTCCCTAAAGCTGCACTCCTCTCCCCTCCCCTCCCCTCCCGTCCCCTCCCCTCTCTTCCCCTCCCCTCCCCTCCCCTCCCCTCCCCTCCCCTCCCCTCCTCTCCTCTCCTCTCCTCTCTTCTTGCCCTGTTCCTGCCCTGCCATGGCACCCAGCCACATGGCTGTGGACAGTCCCTGGCTACTGAGCATCAGGGGATCCCAAGACATAGCCCATCCCCGCCAGCTCCTCTGCAGTGTCTCAAAGACTCACTGGAAATAGCAAAGTGCCATCCAGAAGAGTTGGGGTCACTCTCTGAACCCCCTTATGGATGTGATGCTTCATAGGTCAAATTCCTCTCTCAGATACTACCTGGCTTAAGCCCACCAGAGCCCCCAAACAAGAAGTGACAGTCTCCAGGTCACATATAAGGATTATGGGGCCCAGATAGGTCAAGAACATTGCCCAAGGCCACACAGCCCAGAGGTGGCAGGATTTAAGTATAATTCACACCAGGCTCCAGAACCTGAGTAGTCCCTGCCATGGGGACTCTGTGGGAAGCAAATCAACTGGCATATGGGAACTTCCAGGCTTTTCCCACCACACATGCACACATGCACATGTGCACACATGTGCACACACACACACACACACACACGCGCACACGCACACTCCTGAAGGACTCAGCCCTTTGGTTCACCTCGAAGTCGCAGAGAATGTGCTGGAAGACACCCATGTTGGTGACCGCAGAGGGCCTGAAGCCCAGCTCCGCAGTGCCGGCCACAGAGAGGATGAGCTGGAGGACGCGGTGGTTGAGGAGGAAGGCCTTCTTCCGCAGGAGGAACGCCAGGATCTGAGAGGGGACGCAGGGGGCGGCCTGTGAACACCTGCGGGGCTCAGCCTCCCTCTGCAGCCTGCGCCCTGGGCAGCCCCGGTGGCAAAGCCCTGCTCGCTGGGCTGCCATCCTGTGCCCACATTCTCAGAGGCAAAGCCTGCGCTGACTCTGTGGCTCCTGCCCTGCAGGTGACCTGGCCTCACTCCGGGTCCCCTGCATCTCTCAGAATCTCCTCCCTGGTTTCCCCCAGGTGACAAGTGCTCCTGGTCACCTCCTTGGCTTCCCACTTTCTGTTCCTGCATCCTGTACGCATAAGCATCTCACAGGAGCTGAAGAATCCCCAGGAAGCCTTCATCCACCCAGGAGCCCGGTCACACCAGCCTTCCTTCCCCTGCAGCCACCAGATGTGTCCTCCTGTGGCCCAGGAAGCTAGCAGTAACTATGTCCTACCACCCAGTGGGGGTCCCAGGGAGACCTTCAGGAGCCAGCCCCTCCCAGAGCCTAGGAAGATGCACCCCTACCAAGCACTGCCCACCCAGATGACCACCCAGGCGGTCCTAGTGTCCAGTCCACCTCCTCCTGATGGACATCGGTCCCCCTCCCCCTGATGGGCTCGTCGCCTGCACAGCTCAGCTCCCCACCTCTGGTCCTAACGCTGCTCTCTGTCCTCTCCCAGACACTGCCCTCCCCTTCCAGCACAGCCAGAAAGATGGCACAACACCGCTTCACACCGTCCTGGTCACAGTGTTACCACGTCTGTGATCTGACCTCCCCCACTGAGACCCAGCAGGGTGACTGCAGTGTGCACCTCTGGTCCTGCTCCTGTGGCTCCTCAAAGGCCACCTCTCCCCGTGCAGCAGTCACTCAAGGGCAGTGTTCGTATCTCCTCTGACCAGGTCAGTCGTAAACAACAGTGACCATTACATCACGCGTGCACAATTCCCTGCACAAGCGCCCTTCTAGGACCTGAGCCTGGGTTTGCACACGTAATTAGCACAACCCTCCACAATAGATATGCCAGTCCTGGTTTACACAGGGAGGACAGGCACAGAGAGATGAAGGACCCATGTAGCTAGCAGCTCTGGGGGGAGTGGGGAGCCCCTTGTTTATATGAAACCCAGTGCTCACAGCAGCCCTGCGATGCATGAGCTATGACGGTCCATAGCTCCTCTGAGACAAAGAGGGTAAATAACTCTTTCAGGGTCACAGAACAAGCTAAAGGACAAGGAGGGGTTCCCAACCCAGCAGGCTGGCCCTTCAGCTGTGGGAGAGGACACACAGGGGGCCCTAGAGTCACCAGAGAAAGCTCTAGAAGCTTCACACAGGTGAGCACCCAGCTCAGAACCACACAGGCTGGCTGTCACCTGGCCCTCCTCTGCTATGACCATGCCAGTCCCACAGCCTACCACCAGCCAAAAGTCACCCTGCAGGAAATGTCCCTCTGGCGAAGGAGCCCGTCCCTGTCCCTTGGCGGCTGAGCCTGTCCAAGGTGGGTTACCTGGTACCCGCTGATGTGCTGCATCAGGCGGTCACACATGGGGTTGCTGGTCAGAACCGAGTGCAGGACCTTCACGGCCGCGTACATGGTGTGGTCATCTGTTGCTAAAGAGATGAGGCCCAGGAGGATGGCAGGGCCACCAATGAAGTCCAAGCTGCTGGCAGCCGGGCTGGAGTGAAAGACCCTCACCCCTGCAAGAGACAAACAGGGCACTGGACCGACTCCACTGCAGCCACCTGCCATGCAAAGTCCCCACAGCAGGCGGGTGCAGGGGCCATCCAGCCTCCATCCAGAAGGCCGGAAGGGGCATCGGGGAGGGGCTGGGAAAGCCTGGAGAGGCGAGGGCCCTGATGGAGGGCCTTCTGTGTCATGGAAAGGCTGAAGCCCAGAGGCTGCAGGGGGCTGCTCCCTGTTCTGTGTCACAGTGCCTAGGAGCCAGAGACAGTGCAGCTTGTTCCCCTGGTGGCTCTGAACACGTCAGGCTTCCCTGCCTCTGCCACCTGCTAGTCTAAGCTTTGCAGCAGCTCAGTGCATGGCTTATGCCCCATTGCCTGGTGACCAAGAGGTCCTACCCGCGAGTCTCCAAAAACGATTGCCTCTTAGGCAGGCTCTACCTTCTTGCAGGAACTGGCCTTCTTGTAGCTGAGTTCTCCACCATCCTCAGATGGGCTAGGGAGCACTGAGCTCTGTGACTTTTGGATCCCACTCAGGCTCTCCTGGCCTGGGCCCCAGCACACCCCATCTGGCCTGTACTCCACAGTTCCAGGGAGGCCCAGCCCTTCCTCCCTGCTGACCTACCTAAATGGCCCACAGCCACAGCTCCGAGGGTCCGGAGCGAACCCGAGAGGTGTCCAGCGCAATTTCTCAGCAGGAACACGGGTGTAGTGTTGTCACGCGAGGAAATGTTCATCTACAGAAATTGGCAACAGTTAGTCTCGAGAGTCTCCTGGGAAAGAGGGGGTGTGGGTCATGAGCCCGTAGAAGTCAGGGTCCCCAGGGCATGGCCAGGCTGGTGCTCCATAGGCAATGATGAGTGGACAATCACACTTGAACCAATGTCGGGGGGGGGGGAAGCCAAAATGTGAGGTCCCTGTCCCCCTCCTAAGCTGCGTCTTAACTGAGCGGCTCTGGTGAAAGCAGCTTTCAGTGAGGGCTCAAAGGCAGGAAGCACCTGAGGTCATCTCAGAGGACCCAGCAGGCCAAGGCAGCCACGGCCTCCTCAGCCTGAGCTGTGTCCATTCTGCAAAGCCCAGGCCTCCTGATTTCTGAAGGGTACAAGACAAGAGTTGGGGGACCTCCACCAGGAAGCGGTGAGCACAGCTGTGGCGTGGCGACACCTTGTCCCTTGGCCCTCTTGCTGCAAGGGGCTTTCTGTTCTTGAGGGTGACCTCAACAGATCAGCCCACACGCATCAGCACTAAGAGCCAAAGGTGATGTTTACTCGGGAACCAGAAGTCATAAATCACAGAGCATCCTCATTTATACGCGTTTTCCTGTTTTTCTGCAAGTTCACTGTTTTTAAAAAGTGACAGCAATTCAAAGCCCATTTGTGCAGCCTGGAGCAGTCAGTAGAATCCAAAGAGAGGCCAGCGCTGCTCTCTGGACATCACAACAGAAATGAAAATGTTCCACAAGTTCTTGCTACACCAGGAAGAGCTCCCACTCTCTCTCTGTCTCTGAGATTATAAATAAGAGGGCCAGTCTTGGGGGAGGGAAGGGTAAGGCACAGGGTACTGTAACACAGTGAAGCAGAGTTTATGCACACACGTGCCCACCCAGCCATGCTCAGACAAACACAAATCCGTGTTCACTCAAGCACCAGGAATCTGGACCGGTGGTGAAGATGGGGGGGTTACCTCCTTAGCGATCAGGCGGCTGTCCACCTCATTGTAGGCACTTCTGAGGTCCGCCACGCTGGTGGTGGAGGAGCTGGCCACGTGGAAGCCAAAGGAGACCTTTTCCTCTGTGATGAGGGGCGTGGCCTCGCCATCTGGGTCTTCTCCTGCAGCAACACATTTCCAATCAGGTGTAGTGTCTCTTTACAGAGAAGGAACTAACCCTCAGACAGTTAAGCACCTACAGTCTCACGGCAAAGTAATCACGGAGAGGACGTTTGTACATTTGCTGTGCTGCGTGTTTTTGCAAAGTTGTATGTTAAAATTCCTAAGCTTTGCATTACCCTGTTCTTCTCTGACACAAAAACGGTAACCACATCTCCAAGATGGAGCCTTCTATAAAGCAGAGATATCTTGGGTATTAAACTACCAGAGTTTAAAACATCTATCCAATGCCAATGTGCTAAGGGACAAGAAATCTGATTTATAAAAAAGGAAGTGCAAATTTCTCAGGAGCTGCACAGTGGGGGTGAGAAACCACCTTGGAATCAGCATCGTAGTCCCCAAGTCGGCAGGACCCAATGTCATTTCTAGAAGTGTGTGGTGTGTGAAGACAGAGTCCATGCAACTGTGGCCACAGTCCTGACCTGGTCCCATTGCTCGGGTCAGGGCCATTTGCACAGGAAATGAATCTCAAATAAAACCCAGGCCTGGAGACAGCACCTCCCCACGCGCAAGGCCTTCCCACCCGTGCATTCATTTCTCCCCAGATGGGAGCTGACCCCCAACTCAAGGAGCACAGAGAGCAGCGCTCTCGGCTTGAACAGCCAACAATCAATACGGTGAATGTAGATGTTTTGTCTGCCTGTTTAATAATTGAAGACAACAGTATACTTTAGTTAAAAAGCTTCTTCATTAAAAGGAATGCAACTTATTTATCTCATTCTCTTCTCTCTTTCTCTGCTCGTAGCATTACCCACCCATCCTCCTCCATTAGGAGCTTGGGAGAGGAAATCTAAAGGACATCATCACTTCCTTTTCTGTGACATTTTCTGTTGGATTGTAAATATATAATGATCCAGGTACAGAGGTCTACCCTAATGACTGACCCGAGCTGAGTTCATTCTTTACAAATGTGCTATAAATAACTAGATGTCCACTTAAAAAACTAATACCAGCAAAGACATTATCAATCAGAACTCTCCATACCTGGAGTATGCACAGCTTGGAAGTTACCACAGTATCTCGGGCCGAGTTTGATAATAGCTTCCAGAGTATCCACTGATATGGGTTCTTCAAAGAGGTAGGTGGGGCCAAGACGCCAGATTAATGACGATTTCTGCCTCCAGATCCGAGGGGTGGCAATATACCCATAGACATCCACAAAGGCGGATGGATCCATGGAAAGAAAGGGGCCTGGCAAGGCTTGGATGTACAGCATCTGTGAGGGCAAACAGGACGGAGAGAGGACGTGGGGTTTGATCTCAGAGGGAATCTCAGGGTTAATCAAATAAGCTCAGAGAGATGCAGCACAGTGAACCATGTCCTCTCTTTAAAATAAAATGCCTACAAAAATCTACAAAATTAAAAAGGGAACTCATGTAGCAAAATAAACTACAAAATGTAGGTGTGGGTAAAAAGCTGGCACTACCTTTGGAAGCAAACTTGATAAGACACAGAAGGAGAAATAAAGGAAATAAAATTCCATCTCTCCTGTGCCAATTATTCTACTAAAAACTTAAAGGTCCATTATTGACATATTAATGAAGATTCATAAAATTAACGATAGTGATAAAGCTTAGAAAGGAAGAAATAAAACTGTCTCTTTGCCAGCGTAGAACATTCCTAGGAAATTTTAAAAATCCCCTAGAATATTGAAGGCAAACCTTTTAGAGCTGCCAACGGTATGCACAGCCTCCTGAAACAACGTGCCATGGGTTCACCACCACGGTGAACTCATCAGGACACCAAATCAACACACACACCAAATCACATACTTGTGGACTAACACGTAAGCACCAATTAAAATTTAAAACAACACCATTTACAGTTGTTCAAATAAAAATTACATAATTTAATAAGAGGAATGGGATCGGTATAATGAAAATTTCAAAATGATACCGTGTCCATGGACAGAAAGATTCACCACCGTAAACATACAATTTTCCTCCAATTAATCTAACGCAATTCCCAGCAAGATTATTTGGTACGCTGAGACAGGCTAATGCTAAAACTAATATGGAACACACAGGCTCTAGAATACAATAAACCATTTTGAAAAAGAGTAAGTGTGAAAAAGCACAGAACCATAACAACGCACATGGTCTAACTATAAAAACCAAGACAGGGCAGCATTCATGGAGCGATAATCACAGATCAGTGTTTATAGAACGGAGGCCCCAGGAATAAACCTACCCGGATAGGCACAACTAATCTTCAACAAAGGTGCAAAAGCAATCTAATGGTAGATGACCAGCTTTTCCACAAGGAATGCTAAAGCAAGTGACAGGTTGCCAGGTTGGCAAAGTAACAGACAATGCAGATCTGAGGCCAGGGCGCTCCAGAGTGACCAGGCCGGGAGGCCAGTGCAGCTGGGTCAGGGGCGCCACCTCACCTTGGCTGAGCCGATAGCCTGTCCATCCAGATAGGTAGAAACAGTGCAGTTCCTTTTCATCTCCTTGGTGACAACCACAGCCAGGTGATGCCACTGACCACAGGCCAGCAGCTGGCCACACCTGACCTGAAGCTGGCGTCCAGCAGAGGGCTCGATGGTGTCCTCGGGCTCCATGAAATCTGGAAGAGAAAACAAAGACCAGACTACCATGAGGCATCACATGGCAGACCTGGCACCTGGGGAAGCGGCCTGGCCCTCTTATAACACATGACACCAGCAGCGAGGGCAGCGGCTCCTCGAGCACCAGACACAGGTTATCTGATGGTCACTGCGAGGCAGGTGCTTTGCTGCTCCTGTTGCATCGTCCACAAGCACAGAGAGCAGAGGTAACCCACCCAAGGCTGCCCCGCCAGGATTCAAACCGAGGTGGAGGGATTCTGCAGTGACACTCACATGCGACCAAAGCCAGAGAGGCACTTGCTGTGAGCCAGGACGTCCCCTCTTTGGGCTTTCCCTGTGCTACCTAAGAAGCTGACTCAGGACACCAGAGGATCAGTGGCCTGGACACTCTGGGGCCCCCTCAGGCAGCTTGGAGAACAAGGCTAAGACCCAAGAACAAGGGTAGGGTCAGGAGCAGCCAGGGACAGTAAAGCCCGAGTTTCCTTCAAGCCACTCTTCAGAGACGCCATGAGCAGGACCCGTGCAGCCAGGCCTGGCTCACAAAACCCTCAACTACTTAGCTCTTCCAGCAGATGTGGAACCAAGGACCATGACCCAAAGATGCAGAGACCGGAAGCCCCCAGGTTTTACAGGTGTCCAAGGCCAGAGCCTCTAACTCGGCCCCCTGCCCCCCAGTGTGGCAAAACCACTTTGGATGGCGGGCTCACCCAGGGGCTGGAACTCCTTCTCTTCTGTGGACACCACCAAGGAGAGGCTTTCTGGGCAGAGGCTGGCGGAGAAGCAGACAAAGGGCTGCTCGGTCCTGGCCAGGTGGCGCACCAGGGTGAGGAAGCGGAGCGGGTGGGCCTCGGTGACAGCGGCCTGCCGGCTGACCAGGAACCAGCAGGAGAAGGTGAGTCCCCCAGGGGGAGGGAAGGGCCTGGCTCCACCTGTGGCGACACAAGCATAGTCAGGCTCTTCAGGAAGTGAGTGTGCGCTCACCAGGACTGGTGCTGAGTCACCTGGCGGAGGTGCCGGGCCCAGCAGCCTCACACCTACTGCATCCCAATCCACAGCCAAGGACGCAGCTGTCCCTCACTGCAGGACGAGGAGGAGGCCCTGGGAGGCAGCTGCGCTCCTGCCCTGGTATGTTCCTGCTGCACCGCTCCGAGGTCTCGAAGCCTTTCCCAGTCTGCTGGCCTGCCCTCCAAGGTCCCAGCTGCCTTGCCATGGAGCAGAGGGGCCACCCCTGCCCCCAAGCCTGTCACAACCTGGACCCCTGTTCTGTTGATCTGAAGCCAGGCTTCATGGGGCAGAGGACACCCGACAGGCTCATTCCCCGCTCCAGGGATGCCCTGTGTCCTCTGCCCCGTGTCCTCTGCCCCATATCAGGGCTGGTGACACACAGGGATGGCGGCAACCTTAGCACCAGCCCCACCTGAGAAGAGGTCTTCCCTCGTCCCCAAAGGCCCTGGCTCTCAGCACTCGCTTGCTGTAGGAAGTAAGGACCCTCAAGGCAGGTGATGTGCCCATCTCTGCCCACGCCAGGTGCCATGCCAGGAATCAAACCCAGTCACCATGGGCCTCTCAACACTGACTGGGCCTGGCCATGGGCTGAGGTCTTGGGACGCAGTGACCAGGATGCTTGTCCCGGAGGAGGTGGCCACACTTAGCTGGAGGACGACCATCTGTCTATGGGAACTCAGGACCAAGGGAGGACTCACACTTTCCGGAATACCAAGCAGAAATTGACCACTAAGGTCACAGAAAGACTCACTCCTAGGGCCACAGGGGACCTACCTGTCCCGATCCCTCCGGAGACGGAGTACTCGGTACTGGTCCCCATAATAGTAGACAGGGTCGGAATAAACAGGCACCTGGGAAGAGGAGACCATCTCAGACCACGGACCAACAAGGGGCTGCCCACATCAGTACAGCTGGTCTGGGCTGCGGGACTCAGGGGCCACTTCCCAAGAACAGAAGGAAGCTGGTAGCACCAGGAGACCCCAAAGAAGGGGACCCGCACTGGAGGTGGCACAGGATGGCATGATACAGGACACAGCCACAGCCAGGAAGGGGACTCTGGTCCTCCCAGCTGGGGACTCAGGGCATAGCAGATGCCCACGACTGAGAGACGTGGGACAAGCCATGTGACATGCACCAGAGGTGCTGGGAAGCCAATAAACTGCTTTCTGGGTGTGTGGACGCCGGCTGTACCCGTAACCCTCCGCAGACATGTCAAATTCCACGAAGGATGGAGCCAGGGAAGCTCGCTGGGGCTGCAGGTTGCGCGGGGAGGTCATGGAGATGAGGCTCAACGCCGTCTGATGGGCCGGGCTGGAGTCCCGGGTTGCCCCTGAGGACGTGCCGTCCAGGGCCATGGCAGGACTGGCATCGGAAGGTCCCTTTGCTGCCCCTGGATCTGCAGCTGGTGTCTCTACAGCAGCGAGCAAGAAAAACCACATCCTTGGCCGGTGCTCGAGCCTGGCCTTGTCCAGGTAAAACAGACAGCAGTCGCCAGGAGCTTCACACTGGCCTCCGCTGTCTCAGGGACAGCGTGGCAAGGACCTGGCCCTCTGGGAAGCATCTCCCTTTGGTTCCAGTAGGGGGCACTTCCCAGCCCAGCACTGCTGTAGCTCTGTGGTCTGCCTGGCCGAGCCCTGCCTGCCCTCCACAGGGCCCTGGCTCTCGCTCTGCACCAGGTCCATGCTGGACCTCCGTCCTTGCCTCCCGGCCTTGCAGCCTCTCAGCCTGAGATGTCTGCAGCTTCTGTCCCTCCCAGCTACCTTCCTGGACAGCATCCTCCCTCTGGTCATCACCTAGGCTCCTCTCCAGCCCCCCATTCACCCCAGAGTCATGAACAGTACAAAAGCCTGTGGTGCACACCGGGGACCGCAGGGTCGTGCAGGAAACTCCATGCCTGTCTTGTGATCCAGGCCTTGGAGGGCAGCAGGTACCCCCAGCACGCAGTTTACATGGAGAAGGCCCCCTTTTCCCATGGGGCCTGGCCTTTTTCCAGGGACCCGACCGCTGAGCAGCACATGAAACCACTCTTAAATCCATCCCTTTCCCTGTTGTGGGCGACCCTGCCCAACACCCGTTAGCCTGCTCTCTGGCTTCCCTGGCATACCTGAGCACCCAAGGGTGTCTCTGCTGTCCTCAGGAAGTGCTTTGGGGAGCGTCGATGCAGCTGACAGTGGTAGGGGAATCCCCAGTCCTAGAAACTGCCTGGACATCACCACATACGGAGAACCAAGTGAGGACATCATACTGACAGTGGTTTTCTCCTGCTTCATCCAAACCACTTTCCTAGACACCTGCTCCCCCTGCCCCTCCACCTTGAAGCAGCCTTGTCACACAGAGACACCGTCCCTGCTGGGCCACCCAACTCAGAGAACCAGCAGGATTAGTGCTCCAACGGGAACCTCGTGAGGTATGCTGTTCTAGGCCTCTAGGAATCTGCCTGCCAGCGTGGTGGCTGCCCAGCTCGTCTGTCCACTGGCAGGAGGGACTGGCCTGTGGCCCTCCGTGCCTCCTCCCAGTGTAAGCAGGGGCCAGACAGCGTGACCCTTAGCAACGCCCTCCCTGTGCCCCTCCAGGGCAGCATAGGATCCTTGGAGAGCCTCGGCCTCCCTCCTGCACCATCCCCTGGGCCTTCAAGCCTTCCACCTCTGCTCCTGCTGTAAGCTGCCACCTCCCAACCCAGGAGAGACTCCCCAGGAACATGTTTAGACCTCAGGGTCCAGCCAGGCCTCCCATCTTGGCAGTCTCTTCCCTGAACCACTGGTGCCCCGTGCAGGCTCGTCCGCCTCATGGCCACCAGCACACTGCTCAGCACAGACCAAGAGCACGTCCGTGGGCTCCAGTAGCGGGCCAAGGACGGGTACCAGGATCCTTGCAGAGGCGCTGCTGCCCAAGCCGCACCTGTCACCCAGCAATGCACCCTGAGGGACTCAGTGCACAGTGCGTGCGGTACCTCAGCACGTCAGGCTCGATGGCCTGGGAAGCGAGCTTCTCAAAAATCCTGATGAGACGCGCGTGCAGGGGGCTGCTGCTGGCACGGAGGGCACCTCGGCAGGAGGCCATGAGCGTCCTGAGCATGCCGGCCTCACACATGACCTGCCGGTTCTTCTCTGACTTCACCAGGGAGAGCAGGTGGCCGGCCACGGAGCACTGGATCTCCTCCGACAGCTGAGAGGCGACCAGAGCAAGCCATGAGCCCTCGGAGCCGGTGTGTCCTTTGGGGGACTTCGGCAGGGCACTGGTGGCAGAACGAGCCGACTATTGCCCGCAGCACCAGTGTCCATCTCCAGGGTTCTTCCTGAATTCCCTCACACAGCAGCCGGGGAGGCTGGCGCACGGGGACACACACCCTGCAGACAGCTGCACATGGCTCCACTGTGGCACGTGTGCTGTCTGCTTATGTGATACTAGGACCTTTCTGATTGAACTGTTAATACAGGAAAGTCTACACATCCGTGTGACAATCGTAGCCCCTCTCAAAGCTAGGACGAGCCAAGCCGTTGGTGCCAGGAAGTGGCCATGTGTCCAGTGGTCCCACACTGCGCCAGCCACCTCCACTCACTGGGCTCCTGTGTTTGCACCTGCACCAACAGTGTAATGAATGAAGTCCACCAGAGATCGTGAGTCTACCAGAGGGACCCCCACAGACACACATGCACACACACACAGGCCCATGCGTGTATACACACAGGCATGCGCATACACCCCACTCGCTGGAGCAGGTGCAATGGTCCTGAGGTCATCATAGGTTCGCCACTGTGTCCCTCTGACTGCCTCTGGCCCTGCCTCTGTTTCGGGGACTCAAAGCTCTCGTCCTCCCCCTGCTGGGTTTCAGGCTCCCTCCCTTGCTGTATGTTCCTTAACCCACGTAGATAAAAAAGCAGAGCGTGGGCTCAGTAAGCATTTGAGCAGATATAGTACAGTCCTTTTTAATGGTCTCCTTTTTAAGTGCAAAGACAAAGCCAAGCTTGGAGATCCACACCTGTAACCCCAGCACGCTGGGAGGCTGAGGCAGGAGGATGTAAGTTCAATCACCCAGCCTGGGAAACTTAGCAACTTCCCAAAAGAGAGTGACCCCACGGTGAGCCCTGAAGCTGAACCTGACACACTTTTCTGGGACCCCTGGCTCAGCAGCCCATGCGGGTCCCGTGAGAACTGCATTCGTTCTTCCTGAGGGGCCCCCTCTCACTCTGCACAGTGGGACCCTGGGCTGCACACTGGACCCGCCTCTGGGTCACAGGATCCCCCTTCTCTTTAAATGTGACATCTGCACAGCCAGCCCGAGATGCTAGGCGCACAGGCTCAGCCGTGAGGGGACCAGAAACCTGCGGGAGACCTGAGGGAGCCCCGCCAAGCCGTTTGTGCTCAGCCTCCAGGGCCATCGTTTTCACTGCAGAGCCTTGTCACCAGCCCCCACTGGTCCCTCGGAGGCTCCCGGCTGTCCTGCGGTGCCCTCAGTGCGCCCTGCATCCTCCCCTTCCCACCCCATCTGCTGGAGACAGAAGCAGGCGGCCGCAATCCTGCCCTGAGGGTTCCCTCCCTGGACCGCTCGCTCTCTTTTAATTTGGGGTAAGAGTTGGGGAGACGATCTGTATGAAGCAAGATGCAAAAACAACACCGCGGTGCATTATTAATAAGAACTAAAAGGAAATCCCCATCGTTTCCAAGTTTTTATTACCAGCACTTCCCTTAGTGCTTTGCAGCCTTTTGGTTTTGATTTTGTTGTTGTTGCTTTTTTTTTTTTTTTCCTTTTTCAACCAAGCACTAATACTTACAATATAAATTTTAAAAAGGGAAAAAGAGAGCGGGAGAAAGAAAAAGTTTTCAGAAGAGGGAAGTGCTGAGCGTGTCTAATGGTGCCTGAGTTTCCTCCAAAACTGCTCGATGCTCCATAATGCAGGAGAGAAAATTGATCGCTACAGCTCTGTCAATACCAATATCGCCTTGTTTTGAATAAAACGTGCTGCTTTTTTTCTTTTCAGTGTTGGTTCCTGTAAAGTGGGGGTTTTAGTGAAAGTGTGACCGCTAGCAGGAAGCTACCCCCCAGCAGGTCTGTTTTCCCCCACGGTGGGATTGATTTTCCTAACACACGCGACTTCCAGGGCGGGAGGGACCGTGTTCCATCAGGACTCTGGTTAAGGGCACACAGTCGCGGGCAGCGGGCGGGGCCTGGGGTGCAGGTGGGCGCAGAGCAACTGTGGGACCCTGAGGTGCCTTCTGCTCTCGCCTCTTGACCATCCACACGTCATCCTGTCCCTGTCACACTTCTCTCCTGCACCAGATGCATCCGGCCCCAATAATGGCATGATGGTGCCCTGGGTTCTGTGGTCCCTGAGTCCTGGGTCCTGTGGATCAGGTGTGGTTTGCACCCCCAAAAAGCTTGGTCCCCAGCACGCCAAGGTTGCACCTTTAAGGGCAGCACCTAGCAGGAGACTCTTAGGTCATGAAGGTGATGCTCTCTCACCATGTGACCTCCCCCTCTGTCTCTCTCATCTTCCTCTTGGTCCTCACCAGAGCTGAGCCTAAGCCCTTGAACCCGCAGAACTGTAAGTTGCATGAACCTCTCTTCTTTCCACAGAACCCAGCCTCAAGGATTATGTCACAGCAAAAACAGTGAGTTGCTACATGGGAGTAATTCCAAGAAGGCCAGGGTGCAGGCGCTGGACCCAGCCATGCCATCCTGACAAACAGGAGCCCGCCAGGCCCAGCATCATCTTCCCCCAGACATCCTGAAAGAACCAGAGGTTTTGTGAGCGACCTGAGTTTGGATTCACTGTTTGCTCCACTTTGGTTGAAACAGTCTTTGCTTGATGATTTGGGAGGAGAAGGGATGGGCTTTGAGTGATCTTCGCTCAAAACATTTCCAAAGACCATAACAGGGCTGCAGGGGCCAACAGTGTGCAGGACTTGGCAGGTGTGTTGGTTTGAGCCTCGCTTTCTTAGAGTCAGTTAGTCTACCCCTTACACGGGCAAGAGTTTGTGCCGGCTCAGGAGTGTGTGGCCTCGGGGTAAGACAGAGCCCAACTCCCCGAGAATCAGCAGAACCCAGCCTAATGGGTCAGCACTCTCCATGTGCTCAGGCTACAGAGACCATCCTCCCCTCTGGTCCCCTTGTCCTCCAGCCGCAGCGATGCTCTCCCCCTTTGCCCCTGATGCAGGAAGCTTGGGAGGTCTCTCAATCCCAGCCTTCTGCTGGGATGCGACTCTTATGAGAGCAACGACTCACGCAGCCTCTCTTCCCAGAAACCCTCCAGACTTCCCCCCCCCACCCACGCCATGGCCGTGCTTCCCCTGCAGTAAGTGTCACACCGCACCTGGTTCTCTTTCTTCCTGCTCCTCCTCCCCTCTCCTGGCTTCTCCTCTTCCTCCCTCAGCCCCTCGCGTGGAGAGCTGGGGACAAGGACCCTGCACCTCTATCTCTTCGTGTCCGTGTCTAACCCCTCACGGGACGGCTGCCCTGTGATTGCAGCTCAGGGGGTGTAGGACACGGGTGGTGCCCTCACCCAGGGGTTCAATGTGGTGAGTAGGAGTTAAGAATAGTGAAGAGAGCCAGGCCAGCAAGGAGATGGTCTTCCTGATGAGGGGACAGCATGTGCAGAGGCCAGGAGGTGACTGTCAGGGAAGCCTGAGGCCATGAGGACAGAGCCTCAGTATGGATGAAGGCCCTGAGGCACCACACAGAGGGCCAGATCCTGAGGCGGCTCGGCTCCTGGACATCTGAGACTGCAGGCCGGCCCGGAGCTCCTCAGGTTCCAGTGCAGCCTGGTGGCACTGCAGTCCCTTGCTCTTGGGAGCATAGGAGACACCTCAGTCCCTGGCATGGCTGCCCTGAGAAGCCGGACGCTCTGAGCTGACTTTTAGCAGGACTCGGACCACAGGGCCACCCTCTGACCACTGTGTCCACTCCACACTCGAGTCCCAGACCTGGTCCACCCCGATCCTGCCTCAGGTCCCCAGCTTTGGCCTAACATCCTGGAATTCCCCAGCATGGACACAGCTGTGTCCAGGCTCAGAGCCTGGCCTGCTGCCGTCACCTCGGACAAGTGGAATTCACCATGCAGGATCCTCACCCACCTTGGAACTCTGCCCTTCCCTGCCGTGTGAACATACCTGAGGCCCAGGCACAGGCCTGGCTGCCCCTGCTGAATCGTGCCCCAATGGATCCCGACCCTTGCCCAGGCTGGTCAGACCTTCCCTCTCCTCCTGCCACCCACAGTTAACCCCTCCTCCATATTTAAGCTGGCTGCCACCTGAACTTGGCCCAGGTCACCTGAGAAGTGCAGGTCCAGCTCGAGTGTATGGGCTTCCATTTAACATAGCAGCGTATCCACCAAGACCCAGGCTCCTAAGAACACAGGCTGCGGGTGCCAGACAGCCAGAGAGCAGCTATGGCAGAGCCAGAGCCCGAGACAGGGGCACAAGCTGGACACAGAACGTACCGAGGACTTCACAGCCACCTCTGCCCGTCCCCACAGGACCACACGGTCGTACCCACTTTGCACAGGAGGCAACTGAGGCCGGAAAGAATCGCATCAGCATCGCAAGGCCCAGCAGCCAAAGAGAGGCAGAACTGACCCTCCAAGCCAGGTCTTCCTCCTCCCAAGCCTCACTGTGTGCTCATTATCGGGTAAGAGAGATTTAAAGGGGTTCAGCGTCTGATGAGTGTCCTAGACTGGCGGCCAGCAGAAGCCTTGAAGTTGCTGGGTGTCCATCCAGTAACTCGAAGCAGGTGACAGTGAGGTGCAGACAGAGGAAGCGGTCTGCAGGAGTCACGTAAGCAGAGACAGGACAGGAACTCGGCGAAAACCCTCCTGGTAACTGTGCTGGAGCCCTCCGATCCAGCATTCCTGGACTCCAGCTGCTGGTTTTCCCTCCTCCTGCTCCTCCTCCTCCTGCTCCTCCTCCTCCTGCTCCTCCTCCTCCTGCTCCTCCTCCTCCTGCTCCTCCTCCTCCCTGCTCCTCCTCCTCCCTGCTCCTCCTCCTCCCTGCTCCTCCTCCTCCTGCTCCTCCTCCTCCCTGCTCCTCCTCCTCCTGCTCCTCCTCCTCCCTGCTCCTCCTCCTCCTGCTCCTCCTCCTCCTGCTCCTCCTCCTCCCTGCTCCTCCTCCTCCTGCTCCTCCTCCTCCTCTTCCTCCTCCCCCTGCCCTCCCCCTCCTCCCTTCCCCTCCCC